CTAGAGTTCCCCTTACTGCCACTTCCCCCACCAAGTCATCTCTGTTGGTCAGAATCAAGTCAAGAATAGCAAATTCTCTAGTTTTTCTCCACTTTTTATAGAAGAAAATTATCAGACACACAAGCCAGGAATTTCTTGGAAGGGCCATATTTGGCAGAATTTGCCTCCCAACATATATCTGGATAACTGAAATCTCCCAACACTACTATGTTGTGTCTCTGAAAACGTTGCAATTTGTTTTTCAAAAGTCTCGTCCGCTTCCTCACTTTGATTGGGTGATTGGTAGTAGATGCCAAATACCAAGTTCCTTTTCTTTTTTGCCCCAACTAGGTTGATCCAGATGCTCTTGATGGGACAGCCAATCTCCTCCTCCTGTATTTCTGTGCAGGAATGTGTATTTTTGACATATACTGCAACTCTACCTCCCTTTTTTATTATCACTGTTCTTTTGGATCAGTTTATATCCCTTAATTGCTGTATTCTAGTCATGGGAGTCATCCCACCAAGTTTCAGTTAATCCTATCAAGTCATACCCTCCTGAATTAAAATTTTGAGTTCTTCTTGTTTCCCCTACTCCTGGCATTCATATACAGACCCTGGAGGGTGTGTGATTTATGGCCCGTTTGTCTTTGTACATTTTTGTAAATGTGGTTGTTGTTGCTGCTGCTGCTGCTGTGTAAATGTTGTTGTTGTTGCTGCTGCCGCTGCCCTTTTAATCAGTTTGGCCCATTCCTCTTATTGTGTGTAAAGCTTCTTATTTTGTGCTTGTGTCTCCCTCCCCCTTCTAATTCAGCTTAAAACCCTCCTGATGAAGATCTTCATGCTATGGGCAAACACATTCTTTCCAGTCCTTGTTAGATGCAAGCCATCTCTTGCTAGCAGTCATGAGACCCACTTCATAAGCCTGGGCTGAGAACAACTGCCTTTTGGGTCCTATGCATCTCGGAAGCTATGACCTCTATCATGGGTACCACAATGATCTGACAAGATGCCATGATCCTATAATCAGATCAATTATGTCATTTTGAAAACTGGTACTTAAATATGCTTGCTTTCATTTTCTTTCTCCTTTTTGTATTATGCCTTATTATATGACAAACCAAATCCCTAGGGAATAGGGACTGCCTTTTTAATTATTTCCTTTAATTTCTGTACAACATTTAGAAAACTCTAGGCACTTTATAAAATATACTAATAACTATGATTAGAAGAAAGGAGATATAAATTTATTCAGAATTTGAGGCCTCTGGAAAATCTAATACTGGTGTGGCAAAGCCATGAAACTGAGTTATGAATCTGGAAGTTCCCTATACAAATCTCACCTCTGCAATGGGCTCATGGTGTGGTAGCAGATAAACCACACTCAGTCTTAGTTCCTAAACCCACCCAGCTATAATAGGATATAAACACTGAGCTACTTTATAGACAGTACTGGCCCTGGCTTTTAAACACAAATCAAAACTTACCATTATTAGCAGTATCGTTATTATTTAGCACAGAACCAGGGTGGAAAATAAGGAGAAAAAAGATTACAAAGCCAGAAATTTCAAACAATATGCCAGACTTCCAGCCGCTTCTGTATAAAAGGCCTAAATCCTGTTGTGTAGCAGTGCTTGCATAACTTGAAGCTGCACAAGCTGTTGCAAATTTTGAATTGAAGCAGAAACTGTATCCATGGAACAATTACATAGATACAGTTGTGAGGTCAGTCCCACAATCATATATGCAGACTGCATTGGTGTAACTCTTATGAACCTCCACAGGCATAAAGACAGACTGCGCCAAATACAACAGAATATCAACCATTGTGCAGAAGTGGTGGGGACGCTAATTAATTTGAACAGCAATACCTCTCTAAGCTCCTATGAGAGGAAGCAGGAGAATACACTGAACAAATAATATAAAAATGCAAACAAAATAAGATACATACTGAGATAAATGTGGAAGATCAGCAGATGGCCCAAAAGGATCAGAGTCACCAGTCCCAAGAGAATCAGGACCCCAGCCAATACCAAAATGGCTGCTGCTTGAGTCTCAATGGGAGCAGCAGGAAGGAACACAAACCACAAGTCTGTCTGATTCTTCAAGCCTACAAAACAGAAAAGTATTAAAGAATGAAAAATTGAGCTTAACTACAAATGTACCCCCTAATTAAGAGGGCCACAGTGGACATAGGAGAAACACTGCAGCAATGATATTCACCATGCAGTTTAGATAAATACCTTCAAAGTGCTGGTCAGTGCGCAACTTCATGGGATTAAGGAAAAACTCCACAAAGACATAGGAAGCGATGAGCAGGATTAGGAGAAGACCACAGATGGCAGATATCACACTATTCAGGAAGAGCCTGCCAAGGAAGCATAAGAGTTCTTAACATAGGAGTAGGCAATTTTCCATCCCTTTCTCGGTCAACCAGAGAACATACCATCCTCCTATATGGAAACCACAGATGACCTGAAGGACACTTGCTTGGTTTTGAGTCACTAAAAATAATGCACACCATGTTTTAGAAATTCAGATGTATTTATTTATTTATTTATTTGATTTATATCCCGCCCATCTGGTATATTCTACCACTCTGTACTGGACGCTTTGGAGATGTACCCTCTTGTGTCCAATTTTCTTAACATTTTAAAAAAGAATTGTGATGATAAGGGGCCCTGGGTATTGAAGAGTCTTCCTCCTAGAAGATGGCAAAATTGTCCCCACAGCCGAGAGGGCACAAAGATACTTTTTGAGAAAAAAATCTTTACCCCCTAAATAAACAAAAACAAGCAAGCAAGCAAACAAATAGGGAATGTGAGGGGTATGAGGGGTAAGAATTGCCCTGTGGACTGGATGTTGCCCACCCTTACTTTACAGTTTTCTTGAAGTAGTGTGTGTACAGTATTGACTGAGACCTTACATGTATTCCCTGATCTATGCAGAACCTAGAAAGTCAAAAGGAGTGATGGTGTGCAAATTATTATTCCAAGCACATTGTAAAACAAGATACAGGGATGTTCCACAGTCCCACAGTAACTTGCTTATAATAGTATGATGAAAGCCATGATCCATACCAATAGTTTCTTTGTCCTACACAGTTGTTGAGCCACACGCAGTGATGGTCAAATCCACAAACACACTTATTGCAGGTCCCACAGTGCTTCGATTTGGAACTCCTAACAAGAAAAAAGGATGGTCATGCTACTGCAGATTATTTAAAAAGCAGTACAGAGGCTGTAATAGCCCACACCTGTGTCTTTAACTCAAACCCAGACACAAGTATCTCAAAGAGGAACTTGGCAAAAGTTGTCTTTTTTGTACAAATCTCAAAATTTCCCAGCCAAATAGCTACATTGGCCATGGTATTCTGGGAGTTGTAGCACAAAAACATAGCTCTATCAAACTCGCAACGAAACACTATGCAGAGAAGATAAGGAAGAATGTTCTGCTCTAGTCAAGACATTCTGCACACTTGCATGTTTGGTTGCCTTCCCAGACTACAAACACAATTAAATCCAACTCACACACAAGTGAACTGCACAAGAACACAGCAGGCAAAAGAAATGCAGAACACAAGACTGAAGTTACATTAATCAGAGCCATGATAATATTTATACAGTGGTGTCTCTCTTAACGAGCGCCCCGTTTAACGACAAATCCGCATAGCGATGAAGATTTTGCAATAGCTTTTGTGATCGCATTGCTATATTCCCTATGGGGAAAAATCGCTTTGCGATTATTGCTTCACCTCGATTATCGCAAACGCCCCATTTTCGCACAGCTGATACATTCCCTATGGGGAAAAATTGTTTTGCGATTATCATTTCCCCCCCGATTATCACAAACTCCCCATTTTTGCACAGCTGATCGGCGGGGCCAAAATGGCCGCTGGGTAAACAAAATTGCTGCCCGCTGTTTTGCCTCGCTTTAGAGGCACCGAAAATAACGCCCCATTTTTGCACAGCTGATCTGCAGGCCTTTGCGAAGATCGCGCGACCGCGCCAATGAGCTGTGCGAAAATTGGGCATTTGCAACAATCGCTTCCCCCCATCATCGCAAACACCCTGTTTTCGCACAGCTGATTGGCAGCTCCAAAATGGCCACTGGAAAAAAAAGGGCGACCGCTGTTTTGCCTCGCTTTAGAGGCACCGAAAATGGCCGCCCCTATGAAGGATCTTCGCATAAGGTCAGTTTTTAAGCCCATAGGAACGCATTAAACACATTTTAATGCGTTTCTATGGGCTTTTAAAACTTGCTTAGTGACGAAATCCCTTAACGATGTTTTTCCTGGAACGGATTAACGTCACTAAGCGAGGCACCACTGTATGTCTAACTAGAACAGAGGATACAGTTGAAAAAAAAAGACTGCACTGCTAACAAAGTTGTTTAACAGATCGCAAAGTGGCTATTTAATTTATATGTCCACTGTACACAATCTTGACTGCTCAAAATACAAGTGAACAATGGTGAAATCTTGTTTCACAAGTATTGCACAAGCTGTGTGCTTTATTTGATCTTTCCAATTTTCTCTGCCTGTTCATGAGATGATTTAGAGCCATAAATCGTTAGAACAAAAAAATAAGAGCAAGGCTAAAGTGTACTTACACATCAACATCACAGATATGACAGTGGCGGTTTTCAATAACATGAGCATGTTGGCTCCGACTGAATGTGGTGAGAGGCCCCTGGTAATTCTTCTGTCGCACACTGTCATCAGCTGGGTCAATCGAAACTGCTGTCAGATGGACAATTAGATGGTAGAGGAAAAAAACTCCGGGACACTGATGTGGGCACAGTTAAGGATGATCTCTGCAGATTTATTGATTTTTCTCTTTCAAGTCCAATTTAAGTCTACATAGCATCAGTTAAAAGTTTCTCCATTTGAGAAAATGGTCAATTGCTTTTGCCACCAAATTCATTAAAAATCCAAATCATTATTCTTTCATAAGGATAAAGGAATTGTAAAATTAACAAATAATGTGTACAGTCATAAAAAAGAAGTACTCTCATAACAAAAAGGCTGAACTATTACTGTATAAAAATATTACATATATATTTTTAGGTGTGCATAAAATCCTGCTCAAATGCAATAATTTTAGGCCAGTATCCAGCTGTATTACACAGTCACAGAAGGGCTATTATTTAAATGCTCTCCAAGTCCAGCATGCTCCCCACTGCATGCCCTATATCAGACTGGTTGCACAAACAGTTGTATAATCAGACACATGACACAAGATCTGCCAAAAGAGGGAAAGCATATGGGATTGCTGCTACATTCTGAACAACATATTAGCCCTACAAATGCAAGAAAACTAAGGACAAAGACAAGTGATAACAGAAATACTCCTTGCTGCTGGTTACCAGCAACTCTCCACCTGCCCAATGACTGCAGCAACCTCCTCATTGATTTGCAATACACCAAAAGATTAACCTTTTAATGGATACAATGTACCCAGCAGGAACCCAGTGAACAGGGAGGAGTGGCACAAGGATGCCAAAGCCAATCACTGCATACAAGAGAAACAGCAGCCAGGTCACAAACTGGAAAGGATGTGGAGGCCAACTCCAGCCATTTCTCCGGGCACACTGGAAATGGACCTCAAGAGTTGTCTCGTCATTCTTTTCCGGTGCTGTCTTGTTAGGAGGTTTATTGCAAATGTTCATCTATGACAGGCAGAAAAGAAAATCAATCTTTAGTGAAAGGAGAGTAGCTGAGGTTGCACAAACAGTTGTGTAATCAGACACACAACACAAGATCTGCCAAAAGAGGGAAAGCATATGAGATTGCTGTTACATTCTGAACCCCTACAAATGCAAGAAAACTAAGGACAAAGACAAGTGATAACAGAAATACTCCTTGCTGCTGGTTACCAGCAACTCTCCACCTGCCCAATGACTGCAGCAACCTCCTCATTGATTTGCAATACACCAAAAGATTAACCTTTTAATGGATACAATGTACCCAGCAGGAACCCAGTGAACAGGGAGGAGTGGCACAAGGATGCCAAAGCCAATCACTGCATACAAGAGAAACAGCAGCCAGGTCACAAACTGGAAAGGATGTGGAGGCCAACTCCAGCCATTTCTCCGGGCACACTGGAAATGGACCTCAAGAGTTGTCTCGTCATTCTTTTCCGGTGCTGTCTTGTTAGGAGGTTTATTGCAAATGTTCATCTATGACAGGCAGAAAAGAAAATCAATCTTTAGTTAAAGGAGAGTAGCTGAAAAAAATGTTTATCAGGAAGAGCTGGAAAAGACAAATTTACTGCACCAAACCTCTTGCAGAGAAAGCATTCTGTGCAGAAGAACTCTCTCTGAAGACCACAGAGGTAGTAGAGTCTTGAACCGTGTTTCCCTGAAAATCTTTGCTCCAAAAAAAGCAGTAGGGCTTATTTTCAGGGGATCTTTTATTTTTCATGTATAACCATCTACATTTATTCAAATACAGTCATGTCATCTTCTGGTTGCTGCACAATGGTGGAAGACAGGGTTTCACTTATCTGGGTCTTATTTTGGGGGTAGGGCTTATATTACAAGCATCCTGAAATATCATACTAGGGCTTATTTTCAGGTTAAGTCTCATTTTCCGGGAAATACGGTATTATAAGCTGCATGAGGCAGAGACAGAAATGAAATGAAATATTGCCATCAGTTTCCACAGTGTGTACCCTCAGCATAATAAGGTCTCTCTTCCCATGCAACCTAAGAAATCCACTCGTACATGCTTTGTCAGACAACTACAGGAGAGGGTTAAACTATATTCACAAGACTCTAATCACTATACAAACTGCTCCAGCAGGCAAACAAAACAAAACAAAAAGAGGTTCCACAAGCCATGGAGGCTTTCCTTACCCCAACCTCAAGATGATGGCCTCTATTTCTCAGTTCAGGCCTCTTTAATACAATCGTGCAGTTCTTAAAATATGCTCATTCGGTCCACAGTGCCTTCCTGTAGAAGTGAAACAAAGCCAAAGCAAGTGAGAAGAATTATAACGCATTTAAAATACATATATTTACAATAGGCTTTTTTTAAAAGAAACTTTTTTCAAGATTTATGGGGAAGTATTAATAAAATGATATTAACATTACAATTTAAAATATACATAGTATGGCTTACAGCGTGGTTTACAGAGAGTCATCATCTTCCATGGAATTCCAGAAACTGAACAGAACCAACAGCTGAACAGATCAATTCTGTCTAAAAATGTATTCTTAAAAAAAAGAGATTTCTACCTTTGTAGTAAGAAAGATAAACACAAAAATATTGTGGCTTTTTTTTTACTTAGAAGGATAGGGACTCTTATTCAACCCCAATTACAGCTACACAGCTGTGAAGTTCAATTATGTACTACCTGATAGATTTTTCTTCCTACTGGCTATTAACCAAAATGAAAGCAGATAACATGTAAATGCAAACTGGTAGATAGAGCTTCCATAGAAACACTTAAACAATATATGGTAGCTTTTTATATACAGCATTAAAAGGTGTTTTTTTGGCTAAAGCTTTTATTATGAGTGCCAAGACAACACAAAAATGTTCCCTAGAATGCACAGACAGAGAGAAAGACAGGCACTTGCCAAATGTGCCTAGTTTTGAAGGGAGGTTTTCATCCATAGTACTAAATAAATTTATGGAATTAGGAACCCAAGAAGTGTCTTAAAATCAAAGGAGCATTTTAGTTATTCTGCTTAGAGCTCCTCTGAAAATAAGTACAGTGGTGCCTCACTTAACAGGCGCTCCGTTTAGCGACAAAACCGCATAGCGATTAACTTTTTGTGATCGCAAAAGCGATTGCATTGCGATGTTCCCTATGGGGGAAAATCGCTTTACAATGATCGGTACCCTGTTTCGCTTACCGATCATTGCAAAGCAATGATTTTTTAACAGCTGATCGGCGGTTCCAAAATGGCCGCCCGCTGTGTTTTTGCGCCGATTCCTTGCTTAAGAGGCAGCAAAAATGGCCACCGTATGGAGGATCTTCGCTTTAAGGTCAGTTTTTTGCCCATAGGAACACATTAAACAGGTTTTAATGCATTTCTATGGGTTTTTTTAAATCGCATAGCGACGAAATCGCTTAGCCGCAATTTTTGCTGCACCGATTAATGTCGCTATACGAGGCACCACTGTATACTGACATAAAAGGCAAATTCAATAATCTTGCTATTAGTCCTACCAAAGTACATTCCCTGCATGCCCACAAGAAAGGCAAGATAGGGATCTTAGCAAATGTTGAGAGTAAACAGAGGGCCTGTGCACACTGAGAAATGTGGTGTAGTATGGCCTGTGCTTTAAAGGTTCTTCTCTTAAATGCAATCTGTTCTAACTCTCATGCTACGGGTCCACCCAGAGGAATGTTTAGTCAGTTTACCCATGAGTATGTTTACCTGGTTTACTCGCAGGTAAGCAGGCAGCATCAACAGCAGCCAAGGACAGCTGCAGTGTGAAGGGAAAAGGTTGGGTTAAAGGTTGGTGAAACAGAAGGGAGGATCTGCTGGGGTTGCATTTCCTTGTGGGCCAGAGTCCATGGAGTCAACATAGTCCTGTTCCCCTTGCCTTTTCTCTTGGCTGTCATTCAGGGAACTAAAGTGAATTTCCTTTTTGTTTTGTAGCTAAATAAAATAAATGGCATAATGAAATGGCTATACATCAGCCTAGCATAGTACCAGAATTTTGCTGTGCTGGTTAAGGAAATATTTTAAAAAGACAAAACGGGGGGGTATCTATACCCTCCTTTTCAAAGGGTTGTCACCAAAGTTAATGGCATGCCAATCATGCCAAAAGGAATACATGCCCTACCACTGTTTCAGAAAGTTGTGTGGCAGTTCTTAAAGGAGAAGGGCGGATAATTCTAAATAGAAACAACATCATTTGCTTTGATCCTAACAGCTTTTAATGTGAGCTTTTATGGACAATTTCACTTCTTCAGATGTCTACATTAAAATACAGCAGTTAATCTTTACGGTGCCACAATGTTTTTGTTTTCTTTATTTTTATTTTTTCCGTAACTGCAAGCACAGACTAACATGGCTACCTCTTCAAAAACTACAGCTATGGCAGATTCTGGTTTCTCTTCAGCTCACCCTTGCTGAAAAACATCTAACCCAAACACGAATTCAATATTAAAATAAAAGTAGTTGGGATTTGTTCTTAAAAATGAATTAATCCCTCAGTCTGACCATGAGGGGAAGTGTATCCCTTAGGTGTGATTGAACTAAATCAAATAATGGGGTGGCAGAAAGAAGCAAGAAAACTTATCTAAGCAAAGAGGCTTTTGCCAGGCAGAAGAATGCCCAGCGCAGTAATCTACAACAAACTGATGGTTTTTGCCAACTCAAACTCCAGCAAATGAGAACAGGGTACAAAAATGATCTAGTATCTACAGTGCGTCCTAAACAGCAAACAAAGCAAAGCAAAGCAAATCAGTCAGATGCAAACCCAGAGATGCCCCCGGCACCTTAGAGATGCATGAATTTGGTGGGGTGTAAGTTTGTTAGTACTGCAGTCAACTTTAGGCTAAACCCTCTGGGTGAGTCACTCAAGGCCTTGTGTACCCTGTTTCCTTTATATGACCTGCCCTACAGTTCTAAATATGTTTACTCACCTCAGTCCCGCTAAATTCAGCGGATATCTTCCTAACTCCTCAAGATGTGCCACCCATTTCTGTATCTGTTCACCTGGAAATTAAGTTACACCGAGTCCCGTGAGGGGATGCCGTCAAACTCTTAATCGGCATGAGCACTGCACCCTTCCCGAGTCTTCAGTCAGCAGTCAATCCTAGTGCCTGCAGGAAGTGGCCACTTACTTCCGAGTAGGCGTGCGCAGAGCTGGGCTATTAAAGCCCCTTCTCGACTGCACCCTTAACGCTGCCCTACTACTGTATTTACTCTCAAAAACAACAAGAAGAAAAATCACTTCTGTTAAGGGGTTCCCACTCCAGGGTCAAGGCAACAGATCTGCAGAAGCGGCACCCCAGTGTCCCCCCCCCCCCCAAGATCGTGTGGGAATCCCGCTCCAGGAGCTCACAAACCCCACAGCCGCCCTCCGAGTCGCTTCTTCTCACCTTCACCCCCTCCCTAGTTCCGTGACGGCCGACACGCCCCTCCTCATGCTGGAAAACGGGAGGGCGAGCGGGCAGGCAAGCCCCCTTCCTCCGGGTGGGCCCGGCCGGACCACAGGCTCCGGGGCGCAGCTCAGGCCGCGAGCTTCGTCTCCATGGTGACGGCAAGGGCGGCGGCTGGAGCCGCTGGACTCCTCCTGCCTTCCTCCAAGCCCCGCCCCTGCCGGCCTTCTCACACAAGATGGGGCGCGGGGGGGGCGGCCGCTGAGGAGTCTCGGCGACGCGCAAGCAGCTGGGCAGGCAGACAGCCGTGGCCTCGCTTCGAAAGCCGGACATCGGGGCCAGCCATTTTGCACCATAAATCCTTGATGAGGGAAGTGCAGGCCTCCAGGTGTTCCCGGACTGCAACTCCCATCAGCCCTAGCTATGATAACCAATGGTGAGGAATGCTGGGAGTGGAAGGTTAAAAAAAAAAAAACACTGTGAACCCCCCCCCACTCCGTTTACTTCTCACACCGCGGTCTTCGTAACAAGACGGTCCCCAATCACTGATTTCTCACTTGCTTTTAAATAAACTTTTTCCAGTTTCATAAAAACACCACCTCTCAAACCTCCTAATTCAAATGAACACCTTTTCCATTACATTCCCACTCGTATTTTACTGTTTCCCGTTTCACTTGCCAGCTTGAACTCCAGTCCTGGGAGAACTTCGGTCTATTGTAACGCTTCGGTTTCTGCAGTGAGGTGTACAGTATTATGAGGGAAACACAATATACTGTAATGGACAGCATCCCTGTAAACACTGGCAGAGTCTCCAAACATCAGAGCTATCTGTTCTTACAAATTAATCAATCTCAACAGACTGCGAAAGAACAAAGAACTCAGCCCACTATAGATCATATCCACCAGTACATAAAAATGCTTCTATCAATATGAAATCTCTACCTCCAGTATTTATTTCTGTTCTTTAAAAAAAACAATGTTGACAAATAAATTCATTTTATTGGACATGTCCAATTTAGAAATACATTGGTAGAGAAATGGCTCTAACAAGATTTTAAAGTTATGTTTTCTCTCAATGTTTGTTTTAAAGGTGGTACAGTATTTACATTACTTGATTGGCACTCCACAAATATTGTGCACAAGATATATAGTTTCTGCCTAAAGCCAAGGACACTCTGTGAAATTGAAATGTTCATATCTGGCAGCAAAAGCACCAAAACTATTAAAACCATCCCTCTTGTTTTAGTATTTTACTGTATATTTTTCATTTGGGGCGTTCGTTACTCCATCCTTGAATATGTAAGCACCTTTTCAGTCCCACCCAGCTATACTGGAGGAAATCAAACGCCTGGCAAACATTAACAAGTCTGAGAACAAAACTACTGGAGGAAATCCCAAAATGTTGAAAGCTAATGTGAAAAATATGTGAAGAACAAGTAGTTCATCACTCCCTTTTGGGAGTCAATCAATCTCGTATTTCTTTTTCTGTTTTCTCTGCAAGAGGTTTGCTGCAGTAAATCTTGGATTTGGTCTTCCTCTTTTCCTGCTGCCTTCAATCTTTCCCAGCATTATTGTCTTTTCCAGAGAATCCTGTCTTGTCATTATGTGCTCAGAGTAAGATGTCCTTAATTTCACATTTGATTTCATCTCAGGCCCACTCGTTCATTTTTCTGGCAATCCAGGCTATCTGCTAAGCTCTCCTCTACCACCACATTTCAAAGGAATCCTTTTTTCCCCTGCCAGCTTTTTTACTCTCCAGCTTTCACACCCATACATGGTGATCGGAATTTCAAGAGAGTGGATGATCTTGAACACATCCTTACACTTGAATACCTTTTCTAGTTCTTTTGTTTCTGCCTTTCCAATCTCAGTCTTCTTCTGACTTCTTCAGTTTCTTAATACTAAATATTAAAATTGTGTAGTACTTCTGTACTCGTGATTTTTGTCTTCTTAATGTTTAACTGCAGTTCTACTTTGGCACTTTCATCTTTTACTTTTACTCAAAGTCATTTGAAATCATTGTTGCTTTCCAGCAGTAAGATGGTGTCATCTGCACTTCTTAAATTATTGATGTGTCTTTCACCAATTTTACTTCTCCTTTATCTGAATTTAGTCTGGCTTTCTGTATATGTTCTGCATACAGATTGAACAGTTAAGGGGGGGGGAATGCATCCCTGTGTAATACCTTTGCCTATAGCAGTGGTTCCCAACCATGGGTCCTCAGACATTCTTGATCTGAAACTCCCAGAAGCCTTCACCACTAGCTGTGACAGCCAGGATTTCTGGGAGTTGTAGTCCAAAAAGATCTGGGGACCTATAGGAAGATCTATGGGAAACTATTCTGTATCCCCATATTCTGTCTTAATGGTATCTTGTCCACAACACATTACACACATGAAGCACACACATTTCTTTCAGAACAATCCATAGCACTCCCAAGCCAACTACACCAGAGCAAAGAGTGCTGTCCTCTGAAGATGCCGGCCACAGAGACTGGCAAAATGTTAGGAAGAACAACCTTCAGAACACGGCCAAAGAGCCTGAAAAACCCACAACAACCAATCCATAGTTTCTCATTATCTGCACAAAGGCTTTGCTGTAGTCTATAACACATAGACTGCAGTGGTGCCTCGACTTACGAACGTCCCGACATACAACCACTTCAAGTTACGACCAGCTCTGGCCGCAAAATTTTGCTTCGATTTGCAGGCAGAGCTTCCGGTTACAAACAGAAAAAGGCAGGGGGAAAAAGGGGGGGAATTAAAATTACTAACCGTTGGTAGGGGAAGAGGCTGCTTCTTCGTAGCTTTTTCGCCCCAGCAGTTAGAGAGTGTGCGATCGGAGGAGGCTTTGGACTGCCTGGTAAGGTGCTGCTTTCTGCTTTTTAAAAACTGCTCTGGATGGGTTTTGCAGCGTGGTTTTGGGCTGGGTGGTGGGATTATGTTTCTATGCTGTGATGGGTCTTGCAGGGTTGGTTGGTTTTTTGGTGGTTTTCCCCCCCATTTCCGATGGGTCTTACATGGTTTGTTTGCTTTCTGCTTTGCTCTTTTTGCATTTCTGAAGGGTCTTGCACAGTTTGTTTGCTTTCTGCTTTGCTTTTTTGCATTTCCGATGGGTCTTGCATGGTTTGTTTGCTTTGCTTTTCTTTCCTTTGGCCAGAACAGATTAATCGTGTTTCCGATAGGTCTTGCAGGGGGGGGGGAGAGAGAGAGTTTGGTGATTTTTTTTTATTTCAGCCAGAACAGATTAATTGCATTTCAATGCATTCCTATGAGAAATGGTGCTTCGATTTACGACCATTTTGAGTTACAACCAGAATTCTGGAACCAATTAAGTTCGTAAGTCAAGGCACCACTGTAATTTTCTTCAGAAACTCCTTGGTGCACTCCAGTAGTTAGTGGATATTTGCAATATGATTTTGAGTGTCTTTCTTTAGAAATCCAGCTTGAATACCAGGCATTTCTCATTCCATATAAGATAAAAGCCTTTGGTGCAATACTTCAAGCATTATTTGCTTGCATGGGAAATTAAGACAATAATTCTAAAATTACTGCACTCCTTCGCATCTCCTTTCTTGGGAATAGTAATATAGAATTTTTCCAGTCTGTGAGACATTGTTTATTTTCCATATTTGTTGGCATATTCTTGTTAGGATTTTCTCAGAGTCAGTCTTTGTGGCTTGAAATAGTTCCAGTAGTACAACAGCTATCCCTGGTGATTTTTTTTCTTCCTGGTGCTTTCAAATCAGTTTTCACTTCACTTTCTAGAACTGCATAGTCTTCATTATAGGATTTCTCTTCAAAGGAATTTGTCATTCTTTTATCTTTTCTGTATAGGTCTTCAGTATACTGTTTCACTTTCTCTTAGTCAGATAGAGTGCTTCCCTGTTGGTCATTCAGCATTCCTAATCTAGACCTGAACTTCCCTTGGATCTTCTGGAAGGGCTCTCTTGTTTTTCCCTTTTTGTTGTTCTCCTTTTTTTTTTCTTTGCACTGGTTGTTGTAGTAATTCTGTTTGTCTCTATGTGACCGCTGCTGAAAAACTGCAGTCAAGGTTCTGATCCTATTTCTGTCACCTTTTACTTTTGCTTCTCATCTTTCTGTAGGCAGGGTAAACTGCATTTCAAGGAACTGACCTCCATGTTCTTTTCTTCTCTTCTGACCTTTGCCATTTCTTATTTCCCTTCTTGATCAAATGTTGCTATCTTGCCATTTCTGATTGCATTTTTAGGGGAGGCTGAATTGGTTAAATATTTTCTCCCTTTTCCCACATAACTCACAAGACAAAAGCAGTAAAACAAAACTCTTGTTTAGGCAGGATGCAGGGAAAGGGAGAGGGCATTCAGTTTCTGCTAGAATATTTCACTTAAGAGAGCTTTCTTATCAGTGACTAGATCAGCTGTAGTTTATTTTGTAGTTTATTCTGTGTCAAATACTCCTGACCTAGCAATCAACCCATATGTTGCTTCTCCATAGTTTCCCTTCAAACTGGCATGCTGAGAAACCATTTCAAGAGAAAACAGACAACAATGCAACAGTCACCTGACATCCTGAAGTAGCAAAGGTGGAGGCTTAGAATGTGGCAATAGCCTTTATGACAAAAATTTTTTTCCCTAATATCACATACAGGTTCCTATAAATACTGTGGAAAGCCTGAGTACTGGAATACGTTTATAAAGGTCCCTTTAAAAATGACCTTGCCCCTTCACTCATGTGTTCTGTCCCACTACTTTTTACTCCTGGGTAGGAAAAGCAGCACTGGGAGCACTCTTCTAGGTAGAGGAGAAGCAGCTTCTGTAATAGTGCTTCTCTAATATGTTGTCATGGCAGTATGTCAGACTCTCTCAAGAAGCCACCCCTCTGTCTTCCACTTAGGAAGAAATATGTCTGCCATAGCAGTACTTCTGTTGTTTTTCTCCAATATATTGCAACCACTTGGGCACTGAAGGACACCAAGTAAGGGGCACAGATCTGCTACAGATTTATGGACTTTGTCTTTGGACCCTCCTGATGGATTAGGGTGGATACTGACTTGGCTTTGACATTTGGACTGACTGGACTGGACTGTGGCTTCACATCTCGCCGTATTGGTGAGCCTTTCATTCTCCATTCCTTTTACCTTACTTTCCCCCAGGTATAGGTTTCCCCGACCAGAAGCAACAACTGCCTCAGCCAACGTACAATAGGTCATTGGGAAGCCCCTATAACCCCCCTAGTGCAAAAATCTTTAAACCCTCCTGGAAACCTCTAAAAGTGTAAAAATTCCCAGGCCTCAAAAGTCTTTAGTGGTGTCATGGGACTTGTGGATTGGACTCTCCTCACCCGTCCTACATAAATCATTTAACCCACTGAGATACGCAGATAGTGAATGCACTACAGTCTTCCTGCTGATGGTCGCAGCACACTGGAATTCACTTTTCGAGACCCAACTAATCTCACCTCTGCAGTCTGCTTTTTGAGGGGTCGGGTATTTACAATTTTGTATGATGTACTCAAGCATTTCCATTTCAGTAGAACTCCTATTCTTCCCTACAACATTTTTTAAAAAGGCCATCAAAGCTCTAAATGCACACTCCTTTTGAATATTCCTCTTTCCTCTAAATGGAATGGTACTTTTAAGACTACCATGTAAAATTATCGTTTTGGCCCTGCTTTTTTCCATTTCCATTTTACAGACTCTATTTGCCCAGACCATGATTTGGCAAATAGACCAAGTAAAAATAGAGAAGATGTAAAATCAGTTTCAGCCACATGAATTCACATATGCACATATACACTAAACAGTTTGTGGTTGGGTTGTTTTAATGTATAATTTCATCTAACTTTGAAACACCTCCATTCTTGAACGTGTATTACAGCATCACTTTATAAAGATATTTACATACCTTCAGCCTCCTACTTTTTCCCACCCTTTGTCTAAAGGCAGATGAAGATCAAGTATCTGCATGGTGACACTGCCTGAAACAACTGATCTATCATCATGGTAGTGGAAGCATGTGGCAGAGAACTGAAGAGAGAAAAAGGCCCTGACGTTTAATTCGTGTAAAAAAAAAATCAGATCCCTGATAAACAACCACATGGAAACAAAATGTGGCAGGATTGCTATTCCACAACTGCTGCTAGAAACGTTTCATCTGACGGCGTTCTTGGCGGCGCTGCTTCTTCTCATTGGGCTCCTGGTTAGGAGTTGAAGAATCAGCAGTGAGCCAGGGTCCCAAGATGTTAACCCACAGGAGATAAAGTGCCCGCCCAGGAGCCTGCAGAAGAGAAGCAAAAATTTACAGACTCTCTAGAAATTCAGCGAACTCAAGCTCCAGAAAAGCACAGCGGACTAACAGCAAAACAAACAAACAAAGCCCAAAGAGACAGAGACATGGAATTAATGTCCACTGATAAATGTGTATGTGGCATACACTGTAACATTTTACACGTTTTATTCAAAGTTCAAATTGAAAGCTTGACTACAGCTTTTCTAGTTTTTACTCCTAAACATTTTTTCCTTTTCACTTATTTATTTTGATATACATCTCACCTTTGAACAGAGGTCCAAGGTGACTCAAAACTCTGCTTTTAAGTGTATATAAAAGCACTACAATCCAGTTGTTTATCCCAACTACAGTGACATGCTTGAAACAGAGCCCTGTGGTACAGTGGTCAAAATGCAATACGGCACTCAAGCCTCTGCTCATAACCCGAGTTCAATCCCAACAAGTTCACGTAGCCAGCGCAAGGCTGACTCAGTCTTTTATCCTTCCAAGGTTGGTAAAATGATTACCCAGCAAGCTAGTGGGCAAAGCGTTTGAACTGCTGTATAGCTCTGTGGACCCAGAAGATGGGCGTTTGATTCCCCAGCAGTGCCTCCCTTACAGGAACTGGACTCAAGGATCCTTCCCAGGTCTGCAGTTCTAAGATGATGATGATGATGATGATGATCATTATTATTATCATCATTATCATTATCATTATCAGTTGTAAACCTCTCAGAGAGTGCTTTAATATTATCGGGTGGTATGTAAATCAAAGTAAAAACAACATGTTAAAACAATGGAATTTACATAAGTGTCAATTTACCCGTTTGCATAGATTAATGTGTTTAATCCAGCTGGGACTAACAGCTGGATTTAGGCCAACAAGTTATAATGTTAAAGTACAACTGAATATGTTACAGTATTCAAACACAATTGAACTGACAGTTCCAAGAAGCTCAGCATCAGTTCCTGTCATTTCACAATGGTACCAATCTATTATCCTCTATAGGAAAGCACAGAAGGATCAGTCAATCTAACAGTTTCTCCCAAATGGAAAACTGTCACCTTCTTGAAACACATTTACAGTTCCTTTGTAACTATTTATTTCCAAAAAGTGGAATGAAATTTGAATACTGTATATAAAGAGATTAAATGTTGTATGATCCCTCCCCAAACAGGTATTGCAAGGGAAAGATTATGAGTGACATAACGTCAGACCTGCAGATACACTTAGAAAGGAAAGTACTGTATTTTTCCATGCATGAGACGATACTTTTGTCTAAAATCTTTAGACTGAAAATTGAGGGTCATCTTATACATGGAAGTAAACCGAGGAGAGAACCACATGCAAAACTGCCCATACCTTGTCTCTGCAAACAGGCTTCCTTCAGTCATGAGGCTTAGCTGCCGCCAATCACAAGCCTTATGTAACTGACATCAGCTGATGCTGAACAAACCAATTGAACACACCTCGTTGGAGGTGGAGCATGTAGGCAGTGCTCAGATGCAAAAGGGACTGGTAATGTCTGAGCGTTCTGAGCTCAGTCCTGAGGCTGAATAAATACAGTTGTGCCCCGCTTAACTATTGCCCCGCTTTATGACGAATCCGCTTTACGACGATGTTTTTGCGATCGCAAAACAATGGTCTAAATGGGGGAATTTCCCTTAGTGATGATCTGTTCCTTCTTCGAGAACCAATTTTCGCTTTACGACGTTCAAAAACAGTTGATCGTCGGGTTTTCAAAATGGCCACCGGGTGCTTAAAATGCCTCCCCGCTGTGCTTAGGGATAGATTCCTCACTATACAGGAACAGAAAATGGCCGCCGTATGGAGGATCTTCGCTGGACGGTGAGTTTTTAGCCCATTGGAACGGATTGAACAGTTTTCAATGGGTTTTTTAATTTTGCTTAACAGTGATTTTTCTAAAACGGATTATCGTCGTTAAGCGAGGCACCACTATATGCTCAAAGCTAAGTGTGATGCATAATATGACAGTACTGGTATGTAAATGTTACCTAATTAATAAATAAAAATGTACAGTGGTGCCTTGCAAGATGTTGTTAATTTGTTCCGCGAAAATTGCTGTCTTGCGAAAACATCGTCTTGCGAAATGCGGTTCCCCATTGGAATGCACTGAAATCTATTTAATGCGTTCCAATGGGGAAAAAACCATTTTGCGAAGCATCGGTCTAAAAAAAAACCTGTCTTGCGAAACACGGTTCCCCATTAGAATACATTGAAATCTATTTAATGCATTCTAATGGGGGGGAAACCATCTTGCGAAGCATCGATCTAAAAAGAAAACGTCTTGCAAAGCAAAGACCCAAACATCGTCTTGCGAAAATCATCCATAGGAAAAAACATCTTGTGAAGCACAACAGTGATCGCAAAAAACCCACCGTCTTGTGGATTAATCATCTTGCGAGGCACCACTGTATTCTGTTTTATGTTTAAAACATTGATTTCTTAATTTTTGGTTAGAAAAATTGGGGTGTGTCTTATACACAGAAAAATAGAGTAATGCCCTGACTACTATATGCTGGACACATGGGGGTGGGGGGAAGACTTACCAAGAGCCAGAAGTACCATATATAGAGGGAAAAACAGCTGAGGACTTGAACTATGGCTGTAAGCAAGATCACATCCTTCAGATGCCTGTAGATACACACAAAGAATCTTGTTTACTAATACAGAATGTAGTGCTCTGCATACTTTAGTAATCCTTACAAGTTCACTGACAAAACTAGTGTGTCTGGGAGGTCTGGAAACCAAGACCTATAAAGAACAGTTGAAAGAGCTGGTGTACTTAGCTTAAAGAAGAGAAGCTTAAGACAAGACATGATAATAACCTACAAATATCTACAAAGGAACATATATAGTTGCCTTTTATAGAATAAAATTCACTGATACAACTGGTCTGTAACACTCATACCAGATACAGTGGTGCCCCGCATAGCGACGATAATCCGTGCAGCAAAAATCGTCACTATGCTGATTCGACGCTATGCAGAACAAAGAAGGCCATAGGAATGCATTAAAACACGTTTAATGCGTTCCTGTGGGCAAAAAGCTCACAGTTCTGCGAAAATCCTCCAGGCGGCCACCATTTTCACTGCCCAGTAAGCGAGGAATCTGGGCAAAAACACAGCGGGCGGCCATTTTGGAACCGCCGATTAGCTGTTAAAAAAACATCGCTATGCGAAAATCGGTAAGCAAAACGCTTACCAATCATCGCAAAGCGATGTTTTACCATTAGAAACATCGCAATGTGATCACTTTTGCAATCGCAAAAAACACATCGCTATGTGGATTCGTCATTAAACGAATCGCTCGTTATGCGGGGAGTCTGTAACACTCATACCAGATACTGACTGGCAGCAGCTCTTGGGGGTTTCAGACAGGAGTTCTCTCAGCCCTGTCTGAAGTGGCCTGGGACTGAATTTGCTGGCAAAGGTGTCTGAGAAAAAGTAGACAGACCTGTACTTGGTTATTCCAGAAGGCAAGACTAGAACTGAGAAAGAAATGGCTGAACATTGGGATAAACTTGCTAAGAGGTTGACAGTGGAACCAACGACCTTGTAAAGAGGTAGGTTGCATTCACTGCTCTTATTTCACCAGAGATGAGTGGCCACCTGCCAGGAATGCTGTAATTACAAGATTCTTGCCATGAGCAGTACAATGGACTACATGTCTAGTTTTCAACCTTTGATCCTCTAAGGTTTGACTTCAGACCAATCAGAACAGGCCCACTGAATCAATTTAATTTACTTGTGTTTACTTACCATTCAGCAAGATTCAGGCCCAGATATTTTGGATGTCTACCTCCAGAAGCCCAACCAGCATGGCTAATGATCAGGGATTCCACGAGTTGAAGTTTGAAACATCACGAGGACCAAAAGCTGAGAACCACTGAATTAGATGACTTCAGAAGTCTCTCCACAAGATTCAGGCCCAGATATTTTGGATGTTTACCTCCAGAAGCCCCAGCCAGCATGGCTAATGATCAGGGATTCCACAAGTTGAAGTTTGAAACATTACGAGGACCAAAAGCTGAGAACTACTGAATTAGATGACTTCAGAAGTCTCTCCCTGCCTAAGTTCTATGTTCATGGGAACAATGGTTCTAGACCCTTCTGATCATTAATAAGCAAAATGCTGCAAGGCTATTACCTTACTGATAGTCACTCTGTTGTTCCAGGCAGCCTGTTCGCCCTGAAGCTCCCTTTTAAAAAATCACTCCACTTTCCTCCTTTTTCTAATCTCTTATAGCCATTCTAGTGATACCACTGATGCTTAAAGTAATTAAAAGAGCAAGAAAAATCTCCTAAAACTAGCCAAAGGGTTGTGGCCCCTGAACTCAAATAAATCAAAATACTTCAAGAATTTCTACAGACAAAGATTTAACACAGCTTTTTGAACCTTCAGGCTAAAATGTAGGTTTATACACTATTAGGGATTTGTTTTCATCAACAGGGAATATAGAAAGCAGAAAGAACAAAGAGTGAAACGAAGAGAGAAAAGTTTTGGGAAGTGATAGTTCCCTCCATAAAAACTCTGCAGCTTTTCTATGCTTCCTGCTTAGGGTTGAAGGAGATCCGTGTACATGCTTAGGCAGCAGGTCCTGCTCACCTAGACGTGTGGTGTAGACACTCACTCTGCCATCCCCTGTTCCATATTCAGATCAATTCCTCCATCCGCAAGACTGCCATCTTCTGCAAAAGAAGGCTTCGCCATAGAGTTCATGGAGCGGTAACTGGCACCATAAACCATCAAGCTGAACACAAACGCAATCTATAAGAAGAGCAAGAAGATCAGCCAGGAAAAGCAAGAGAACCCCGTACTGGGTTTCTTAAGTACAATTTGTGAAAGCTACTTTTTGCACTACACCTTCTGGAATCCCCAAACATGCAGTCATGCTGGCTATGACTGATGGGAATTGCAGTCCAACAACATCTGGAGAGATTCCATTTGCCTACCGTGCCTTACCGATCATTAATGCTTTTTGCACTGGGAAAGACAAATCTGACCTCTTCCCAGTGCAAAAAGCATTTAGTGATCCATAAGCCTCAGTAGACAATGGAAGTTCTCCAGATCTTGTTGGACTGTAATTCCCATCAGCTGTAGCCAGCATAGTGATGGCAGAAGCAACAGTCCCAAAATATTTGGAGGATCATCCATTGCTTGTCTATACTTCAAATATAAGACATCAGTAGAGTCAGACACCAACAACCTACAGTGCACAGTTACTTTGGCAGATGTGGCACTATCAACCAGAAGCATGGAAGCCAGATGGCTGTTCTTTTACCAGCTTTTTTCACTGAGCAAGGCAGTGTTTTGATCTGGCTGGTTCTCTGTTTTCTGTATAGAAACAAGGGTCCAGGAAAAATGTGATTTTAAATTTAGTTATTCCAGTTAGGAAATTATTATTTATACATAGCAAGTTCACATGTACATAGACAAAAAATACAGTGGTGCCTTGCTTAACGGTGATAATCCATTCCAGGAAAATCGCCGTTAAGCAAAGACTTCATAAAGCAAAAATAAAAAGCCAATTGAAATGCATTGAAAACCTTTCAGTGCATTCCAATGGGCTTAAAACTCCCCGACCAGTGAAGATCCTCCATACAGCGGCCATTTTCGCTGCCTGTATAGCGAGGAATCCGTCCCTAAACACAGTGGGGAGCCATTTTATTTACCCGGCAGCCATTTTGAAACTGCCAATCAGTTGTTGAAAAATCATCGCTTGGCGAAGAATCAGTTCCCGAAGCAGGGAACCGATCATCACAAAGCGAAATTCCCCCATTCAGACCATTGCCGTAAAGCGGATTCGTCTTAATGCGGGGCAATCGTAAAGCGAGGCACCACTGTATATGGAACAATCATTATTTATTATTATTTATTAGATTTTTAAACCTCAAAGCCATTCACAATATATGAAAACCAAAAGATACAGGAAACTATATGTGGGACTTCATTTAACTCACCCAAGTCCAGATAGTGGCTGCAGTATAGAATATTACAAGGTTTACAATTCCATAAATGGCCTGGAATCCAAAGAAACAAAAGTCAGAAAGCAACTACAAGAAGAAAAAATGCAGGCAAGATCACTATAAATCTTTCTGAAAATCACCATGCCCCTCCCAAAAAGCAGATCTAAACTCAGATGAAAAATCCACCCTGTACAAACTCAAAGTGCTGTGTCTCATATTTGGACACAGCACTTTATAAAGTGGTAACCACATACTATATTTCCTCCTTAGGCAGATGACACTATCAACTTCAATCTGCCTTCAGGGTGGTTATAGGATAAAGACAGCTTTGGTCGCCCTGGTGGATGACCTATGCTGGGAACTGGGTAGGTTCCTTGTTGGTTTTGCCGGATCTCCTGGCAGCTTTCCCTGTTGGTTTTGCCGGATCTCCTGGCAGCTGTTGATACCCATGGCCATGTTATGTCTCTCAAATGGATCTTGAAGGCGCTCCTATATTACAGCTTCACTGGCTGCCAATCAGTTCAAAGTGTTGGCCATGACTTATAAAACCCTATATAGACTGGGTATAGGAAATGAGAGGTATGAGCCTCCCTGGCTTTTTAGATCTTCTGCACAAGTCCTTCTTTTGTCCCCACAGTCCTCACAGGCTTGTCTGGTGAGGACATGAGAGAAGGAACACATTCCCCTGGAAGGCCAGGCTGGGCCCTCCCACTTGTCATTCAGCCAGCAGACGAAGAGCCTAGACAGAGGTCAATGATCTTTGTGATAGGGCCAAAATTATACATGAAAGTAAACACATAGGTTAGCATCCTGTTTCTTACTTGCAGACCATAACAGCTCAATGGTTGGAGAGCTCTGCTTGAGGCCTGCCAATTGCCGCACAGTCAGTGATCACACAGCGGCTGTACATGGGGCTTTTCTGTTGCACAGGGGGTTACGAGGGTCCTTGCTGTGCAAGCTGTGGTTACAGAGTAACAGCATGTGGAACTGACTCTTCCACAACATGTTTCCTGGCAGCAGGATAATAGTGTATTTTAAAAGGTCCATACATTTAAAATTACTGTTTTCTAAAATGCAAACAGCAACCACCAGGCACCCAAGGAAGCAGGATTGAAACTATAGTGTGCATAGAGGTTTGATGGCATTAAAACACTTAACCCCTGTGTTGCATTTCCACCAAAGACTACCCTACAAAAACTGCTGTTCCCTCTAGAATAAGAGCTCCCACAGATACCAGTGAGAGCTTTTCTGCAATGGCGAACACATTAGAAGAGGCAGGGAGTAGGCTGAAAAAGTCTGAATCAGGTGGAGTCTAGCTGTGTCTCCTATTTAATAATAATAATGTGTCATTAAGTCAATTCTGACTTGCAGCAACATTTCTCGGGGTTTTCTAGGTACAGAATACACAAAAGTGGTTTATCATTCCCTTCTTGGAATTCGTTCAAGGCCAAAACAGGCTGGCTCTTCTCCCAGGAAGCACAGTGGGGAATTGAACTCCCAGCTAGACATAGGGGACAGGAATAGGAATGTTGGCATCACAGGTGCCTGGGAAGTTCAGTACCTTCCCCCTGAACTGGTAGGTCCAATTACTGGTTGCCACGTGGCACGTGTGGCTGGCACAGTTCCCGTCATGCCAATCATGGAAGTAGCCCGGCCGGCACCTCCCTGCCTCCCAGTTCAGCCAACCACTCTGGGAGATGTAGTAAAAAAGGACACAACAAACCATTTTCAAGCCCTGGAAGTGAGGCCTCATTTCTGACTCAGCCAGTACTTCACACTGAAAGAACTAAGATGCTTTGGTGAAAACATAGATGCCTCAGGGCATTTCTTCTTGCATCATAAAGGGGCACAATGAGTGGAAACTCATTGACTGTACGCTACTGGTGATACATTATTGCTAAAGGATGTCCTCTGCATTACCACATGGGTATCATGTCATTTCACAAAGGACACCTCTATCACCAAAGAAGGCCTCACCCAGTGTTGCCACTTCTAACTTCATTTTTCAGGGTATGCATTACATGAAGAGCCTCCATGCAAAGCAGGGGCCCTTTGTTCTATAAGAAGAGAATAACAAGGAGAAGGTAGTTCTAGCCTTTGTTTCCTGCCGTAGAAAAGACCAGCCCTTTTCTGAATACTTTAATAAGTCTCAACTCTACTATGGGAGAGCTAGCCTCCATCAGCAAGACTAATGTTGCAGGCATGGGGAATATGGTTCCAAATCCAGCTTGGCCTGAGAAAATCTAGGCCATCTGTCTATTCCCAAAGTAGGTGAAACTGGGCACCCCCCAACTGAAAAGCAAGAAATGTGGCCAAAGGGAAGCTGCTCAAGACAAAGAAGCCGACTATTACATACTCACGTTAGCTCCCAAGATGATTTGCAAATAGAACTTGAGAGTATCCTTATTTTCTTCAAATATCTGCTTTTTACCTTTAGTTCCCACCTTTCCTTTAGGCTGGAAAAAAAAAAACACAAAGCAATTTAATCAAATGATTTATGTCATTTGCTTATATGTTTGTGTATACCCCCAAACTATTGCTATTCGATACTGCTATGTTTTTGCATCAAACAGGCAGAAAAGAGGATACAAAAAGGATGTGAACAAAATTAAATTAAAGCTGGAACCGATCAAGCATTTCCAAATTACGTTGTCAAACACATCAAGACAGAAGTGGGTTATTCCTATCCTCCCTGTTGATGTTTTGCTCATCAAAAGCAACGTCTCTGAAGGGGAGAAGCTCTTTTACATGTGGGAACTCCACAGGGAAATCTGGGTTCTTGCTCCCACAAATAAAGTCACCAATTCTGGATGAGCTAGACAATGACTGAGGAAATAATGTTAAACAATACGCTTCACAATACAGTACCTCCAGAGACCTTTGGGTAGTGTGGGTGCCATATATAAGTTAAATAAATAAATCATCGTCATAAATTTGAATTCTAGCCATCCAGACACAAATACTGTAGATCTATCGCTGTACTGCTGATCAAGACACTACAAGGTGTGCGGTTTTTTTCAGTTATTTTAACCAGAACCCTTGAGGACATGCAAGGAAACTGTTCATTTATACTGCCATGCAATCACTCAGCGGAATGACACCAATTATTCCCTCGGCTTCCACCCCATCTTGCTCTCCACTCCCAACATGGGACTACAGTATTTACTCGGGGTCCTCGGAATTGTAGCACAAGGCATCCGCAGGGCAGCAAATTGGACAGCACTAAGTGATAAATTGAAGCTCCTTAATGGCATAAGGAAATAGAAGAGGAGGGTAAATCCTGCAGAGACAGAAGCTGATCCTGGGATGCAGCCGCACAGAGAGAGAACAGTCACTTCCAGGCCCCAGCAGTACTAGAAAACGCATCCACCGAGGCCCGGCCCGGCCTTAAATGCCGGACGACGATCGCTTCCAAAGCCCTCACTCACCGCCATGACAGCTGCTTCTCCGAAGGAGGCAGAAAACTCACCAGCTCAGCACACAGTCAGGTCTTGGACGCGGAAAAAGGTAGTTCTAGCCTTTGTTTCCTGCCGTAGAAAAGACCAGCCCTTTTCTGAATGCTTTAATAAGTCTCAACTCTACTATGGAAGAGCTAGCCTCCATCAGCAAGACTAATGTTGCAGGCATGGGGAATATGGTTCCAAATCCAGCTTGGCCTGAGAAAATCTAGGCCATCTGTCTATTCCCAAAGTAGGTGAAACTGGGCACCGCCTCCCAATGAGAAGCAAGAAATGTGGCCAAAGAGAAGCTCCTCAAGACAAAGAAGCCGACTATTACATACTCACGTTAGCTCCCAAGATGATTTGCAAATAGAACTTGAGAGTATCCTTATTTTCTTCAAATATCTGCTTTTTACCTTTAGTTCCCACCTTTCCTTTAGGCTGGAAAAAAAAAAACACAAAGCAATTTAATCAAATGATTTATGTCATTTGCTTATATGTTTGTGTATACCCCCAAACTATTGCTATTCGATACTGCTATGTTTTTGCATCAAACAGGCAGAAAAGAGGATACAAAAAGGATGTGAACAAAATTAAATTAAAATGATTTATGTGTCATTTGCTTATATGTTTGTGTGTACCCCCAAATTATTGCTATTCGATACTGCTATGTTTTTGCATCAAATAGGCAGAAAAGAGGATACAAAAAGGATGTGAACAAAATTAAATTAAAGCTGGAACCGATCAAGCATTTCCAAATTACGTTGTCAAACACATCAAGACAGAAGTGGGTTATTCCTATCCTCCCTGTTGATGTTTTGCTCATCAAAAGCAACGTCTCTGAAGGGGAGAAGCTCTTTTACATGTGGGAACTCCACAGGGAAATCTGGGTTCTTGCTCCCACAAATAAAGTCACCAATTCTGGATGAGCTAGACAATGACTGAGGAAATAATGTTAAACAATACACTTCACAATACAGTACCTCCAGAGACCTTTGGGTAGTGTGGGTGCCATATATAAGTTAAATAAATAAATCATCGTCATAAATTTGAATTCTAGCCATCCAGACACAAATACTGTAGATCTATCGCTGTACTGCTGATCAAGACACTACAAGGTGTGCGGTTTTTTTCAGTTATTTTAACCAGAACCCTTGAGGACATGCAAGGAAACTGTTCATTTATACTGCCATGCAATCACTCAGCGGAATGACACCAATTATTCCCTCGGCTTCCACCCCATCTTGCTCTCCACTCCCAACATGGGACTACAGTATTTACTCGGGGTCCTCGGAATTGTAGCACAAGGCATCCGCAGGGCAGCAAATTGGACAGCACTAAGTGATAAATTGAAGCTCCTTAATGGCATAAGGAAATGGAAGAGGAGGGTAAATCCTGCAGAGATAGAAGCTGATCCTGGGATGCAGCCGCACAGAGAGAGAACAGTCACTTCCAGGCCCCAGCAGTACTAGAAAACGCATCCACCGAGGCCCGGCCCGGCCTTAAATGCCGGACGACGATCGCTTCCAAAGCCCTCACTCACCGCCATGACAGCTGCTTCTCCGAAGGAGGCAGAAAACTCACCAGCTCAGCACACAGTCAGGTCTTGGACGCGGAAACGTCTACGTCATCAGGAGCGGCCGGCAGAGACCTTCCCTGGGTGTGGACTACGCGTCCCAGCGAGCATTGCGCCGCCGCCGCTGTCGTCATGGGGATTCGGGGAAGCCCCGGAGAAGGAGGGCGGAGCCAACGGGGCGGGGCGGGGCGGGGCCGTTGACGGTCCCCGGGCTTGGTGGTCCCTCCTGGTTGTTTTAACAGATGCGCTTCTCCGGTTCGGGGCGAGGATGGCGGCGTGGGGGCTGCTGCCGATGGAGGTGAGGGCTGCTGTTCCCGGGGGGGGGGAAGGGCCAAAAGAGCCACGGAAACGAGGCAAAACAATGAAGGATGCTTTGCAAATCAATGTCAATAAGGCTCTGAGGCGGGCTGGCTCCCTCAGGCACGTGGTGGCGGGCACAGGTTTTTTGGGGGGAAAATACCGTTTCCAGACTTTTATTCCCTGGGGCGCCCGGGCAGGCTGTCAGATCTGAGGGGGGAACCTTTATTGCCCCCGTCCAGATGTTCCAGCTGTGTTTGCCAGGGTCCCACGCTGGGCAACGCCGCTCCAAGCTGCTGGCCAAAACCTTTTTTATTGGGGGGGTCATTCGTTTCCCCCATTCATGCTGTATGTGCGAGAGTGAACCCGCTCCCCCCAAAATTAGGGGCGCTCACTCATCAAGAGGAAACAGAAGCTCTGGTGGTTCATTCAGAGCCCGTTAGTTAGGCTTGGGCAGCACAGTGGCCAGGTAGGTAGTTACTGAATCTATTAAATCAGTGGAGGTTGACTTCCTTCCTTCCTTTCTTTCTTTGCCAAGGATTGTTTTGGAGTGAATTATGGAAGAGAAAAAAAACTGAACTGAGCTAAAATAAAGCAGTCCCGCTGGGAAAGGTTCCTGCATTTGCAAAAATTGTTTATATTTCATCTGCAAACAGTATTTTATATAGGATCATTTGGAGGAATATGGAGCAGGCTGCTTGTGGAAACAGTCAACTGTATCCCAGTAAAGAGGAAGTTGTAATTATAACAGTCTTAACTTGAAGGTTACACAAACACAAATCACTGTCGCCGGGCTGCCCATAAGGGGCTGCGCCAGATGAAAGTACATCCTCTCTGCTAAAGTTACTCGGGAATTCAGTGACAAAGGTGAAGTCATAAATTTGTCCAACTCTTGCGGTGCTTCTTGATTTATGACCCGGTTTTCTCTTCCTTGGGCTGAGAAAGATTTCTAGAGGATAACAGCAGGCACACACACAGAAGGGGAGCAGCGGAGGGGTTGGGTGGAACAGGTGTTTAAACATAAATATTATGGTGGCGTTTTTAACTTGGTATAAGCTAAAACTTGCACAGTGACCTTTGTGTAAATAAACTGTGTATTTGAAGAGGAAGAGGGTATGAATAAAAGGCAAAAATATTGTATGCTGAAACAGAGCACTAAATATTGCTTCCAGCTCCATAGCGAGTTGTGTAGTATCCATGGTTGGTCAATTTATTTTGATATTTGCGGTCCCCAAAACAGCTCATGTGTTTTTTCTTCTTCCTCAGCAAAAGAAGTACTGTAGATAGTTTACCTCATGGTATCCAAGTGCATTTAGTCCAGGATAAGAAACCCGTGAATTTCAGATGTTGTCGGTATAGCAAAACCTTCCCTTGCCATTAGTCATATTGTCTGGGTCTTACAAGACACAGAATCCAACAACTTTTGGAGTACTGTATGTGCCTAAAGCATGAAAAGTAACTGATGTTCTTAGCACAGTATTGCTATTCTGGTTTTCAGAGATCTTTATCAATACATACTGGTTGAAATCCAGAAGCATAACTTACGCTGTGTAAAAACAGTGGTTTTTCAGAAATTAAAAATTTCCTGTTCTCTTAAAGGTCCCAAAACTCTCTTTGGAACACTTTTGTCATGGAGAAGCTGATGGAGACAATGAGATGGGGTGACTATAGGATGGGAGAAAGTAGGTCATTCCTGAAAATTGCCACCAGCATCACAATTTTCTTCATGCGCAGGTTATCACTTACATCTTGAGCTTCCTGCCCATCCCTGACAGGAAAGAGGCCTCTCTGGTAAACCAAACCTGGTATATGGCAGCCCAAAATTCCCTGCATCAGGTAAGAACCTCTTGCTTTGACCAGTCTACTTATCCCTCTTATAGGTCACTAGAGTTGCCCCATTGAAGAATCATGAGCTCATTTTTCAGAATGAAAGTTAACTATATTTTAGTATTATGTGAGCAAGCAGCAGGGAGTCTTGGGGTTCACCTACTCTGGTCTTACCTGGCATGGCAGCAAAGGAACTGGAAGTGTTTCTTTCCCTGTTTAAACTATCCAAGAGAGAGGCTCCCTCGCTGGGTGTTTTCAAGAGCCATTTAAAGACGTGGCTCTTCAGGCAGGCCTTCCCTCCTGTCAATTCTTGAAATCTATCTTTCTATTCTTTCATTCCCCTTCTTGATCGCACTATATTATTGTTTAAATGTTTTATGATTGTGATGTTTTATTGTATTTAATGATATTTTATGATATTTGTAAGCCGCCTCAAGTAGACGCTGTCGGGGGGGGGGGGAGAAATCAAATGAATGAATGAATAAATAAATAAATAAATAAATGTCAGAAGGAAATATGGTTTCTTTACATGGTCATTGGCCAACAAGCCAAGATCATAAGCCTGATCATACTGGCTTTTTAACAAATCATAGCCTAAAGTAGGGATGGGCCACCTGTCCATATCTTCCCATTTTTCAGTTCCCAAGTCCCTACCAGATGCCTCCCCACCAAATAACACTTTTTGTTTTGGCTGACAAAGGAGAACTATTGCTACTGGAATATCTCCTACACAATGTTTTCCCTCTGCAGAAGCTGCTTGCAACTTTGCATGTTTTCATTTGTATGACTGGGAGTGAGTTTTCTGGGCTGAAGTGATTCCATATCTATCCAGGACTAACCACTTGTTCCTTCCAGCCTTTGAATTCAAAGAGAGCACCCCCTACCTCTTTACTCAATGCTGTTTCCCCTCTCTTTTCTGCATTGGTGGCAGTTCTTTGCTGCCAGTCTGTTCCTTTGGTTGCCAATATGAATGAAGTAAAGAAAGCTGAAAACCTCTGGAAGGGCACAAGCTCTCAACCCCTCCTCAAGGCACAGCAGGTTGCAAATGTATTCCAAACCCATACAAGCAATGTCTTCAAGAGAAAAGAAAAATAGAAGTGTTGTTCCAAGAGATCTTGAAGGCAGGTGTTTGAACCCATAAATCTATCCCACAGTTTAGGAAGATGATCTAATTTTGGATGATAATACAGAGTCAAAGTTGCTGTGCCTTTTATTTGCTTTCACTGCCTCCTGGCCTAGCCTGCCCATCTGGCTCCTTCTCCTTTCAAAAAAGAAAAAAAGGCTTTGCCTGAGAAAGATGTTGTGACTTCTATTTCAGAGAGAACACTGAAATTGGGTATAGTGGTCCTAAAATGTAGGATATTGAGCAGGGATAGAGAGTGCACATCTTCTCCAAACACTTTTGACTGCAGTTCCCATCACACCTCACTGCTAGCTGTGCTGGCTTGGGCTAATGGCAACCACATTCCGACAATGGTTGAAATCATATTGAGCACCTACGCTTACATAACTCAAAGTTACAGAAGTGGTGGCGTTATTTACAAAGCACTTCTGCAGGCACATTGCACAGTGGTTGCAAGGAGAATTGCATGACCAGTTGCACACTCCTTATTTCCTGAGCTTAAAATCAGACAAATTTATACAGGCATAACTTTACAGGAAAACGAACAGGATTCCAGCCACTATTTGCAAGGTCAGGTCATCACTATCCCAATGCGGCAAAAACTGTGTACAAATATTACCTTTTTTGGACTGCAGCTCCCAGAATCTCCAGGTCTCGATTGCCCTTGACTTGTAGCCCAGTAACTTTCCCAGTTTCCAGTCATAAGGCTTCTGCAGTCTGACGCTCCCAGATATACACATATGGCTTTGCCTTACACTGAATCACTCTCTTTTCCCCATTTTGTCTACTCTGACTGGCAGAGATTTTCCAGAGAAGACAAAACAAAGAAGAGGATTCATCATGACTTGATTTTTTAGTTCTTTTAACTAAAGACACCAAGGATTAATCTTTATGTCTGTGAAGTATGTGCCTTGACACTGAGCTATGGCCCTTGCTCAAAAGGCAGGCCCAACCATCTACAGTTTTCCTATAGATCCAATTTGTGCACAGTGGGCCAGAGGAAATGTATATTTATTTGTGCATCATACTTTTATCTGCCCTTGTTGTGTACATTTTAATTTTCTCAAGAGTACTTTGCTATTCAATTTATATCCCATTTTTCTACCAGGAATGGGATCCAAGGCTATATAGTTATATAACTTACCGGTATATATATGATTATATGAAAACAAATAAAATTTAAAAAAAATAAAAGGTATGAGATTATAAAAGATTTAAAACAGAATTAAGATGTCTCCAGTGAGCTTTGTTGCCAACAAAAATTTGAAGCAGTGTCTCTTCAGTCCACATATGATGCATTTTGCAGGATCACACCCTGGCTTTGATTCTGCTTCTGATCCTCTCAAGGTGGGTCCTTGCTTTTACTTTTTGTCCCATGTCTTCATCCGGCTAATTCCTCCTTCTCCTGATTAATTCCAGGAGAACCTTGTCTTCAACATCCCTGCTGCCTCTGCCTCCCTAAAGACGATCCGGAGCCTGGCCCAAAGGCCTGTGAGTAGTGTTAAGTTGGCCAGCCTGGATGGCTCCACCATCTCCCGGGATGTCATCAAATATGTTGCCCATTACTTGGGACCCTGTCTGCGCAGTTTGTGCCTCCATGGGAGCATCCTGACAGAGGCCAGCTTTGAGGAGCTCCTCCTGGCCTGCCCTTGCCTCAAAGCCTTGGATCTGAGTGGCTGCAACAGTCTCTTCATGTCCGGGGCCCTGTTGTCCAAAGAGGACACCCGCCTGCAAGCTGCAAAATCCCTGGTCAACCTGGAGGAACTGAATTTGTCTGGGGTGAGATACTTGTCCGACCTCACCTTCAATCGCTTGACGAGCTGCTGTCCACACCTGGCTAAAGTGTCCCTCGCTCGCTGTCACATCACATTCGAATTTGATGCTTACTACAGCTCCAAGAACTACAATTCTTCCGTCTTGCTGTCTTTCCGCAATCTTCTGCAGTTCTTTAGAGAGCGAGCCAGCAGCTTGAAAGCTTTGGACCTTAGTGGGACCAACATCTCTAGCCATACAATGAAGGCACTGGTCCAAGTGGAAAACCTGCACCTCAAGGAGATGGTATTGCAAATGTGCCAGGATCTGACCAACGAGGCAGTGAGTGTCTTGTGCCAACACCAGTGTCACTTGACCACCCTGGACCTAAGGGGCTGTCCAGAGCTGTCTGACCGGTCTGTCCTCACTGTCAGCTCCCAGCTCCTGGACCTCCAGCACCTGTACTTGGGGAAGCTTCCACGAATCACGGAGGCTGGCTTCCAAGGGGTTTCACGACTGAGGCATCTCCAAAGTTTGGATGTGTCTGAATGCAGCCTTGTGAGTTGTGGTGAGCTGGTGAAAGCTTTCAGTACTGTCAAGGGATGCCCCAGATTGGTCTCCCTGAATGTCGCTTTCTGTTCTTTATTGCAGGTAAGTTAGGAAGCATGACTGGGGAAACTGTGGCATACAGGTTTTGCTGAGTTCCAGCATCCTCCTTACCAAACCAGCATGAGCAACAGTCAGATGGCTGGTGTTGCCGTTAGCTACAGAGCCCTCTAAATACTCTTGGATTCTGACTCCCAGCAGCTCCAGTTAGCATGGTCAATGGTCAGTCTAGTGGAGTGACTACAAATGCCATTAATCTTTTGGCTACTGGCCACACTCAGTGGGGCTGGTTGAAGCCCAAAAACATCTAGAGCATTACAGGTCTTCCAATAATATTCCATTTATGTTTCAAACGTATTTTTAAAAATTATTTTTGCATTAAAATAAAACCAGCCATTGCCGAGACATGCAGGTCAGATAAGAAAGGTGCTGTTGGATCCAACTAGTCCAGCATCCAGTGTTCCAGAGTAGCCATGCAGGTTGTGGCATTCGCCCCTCGTGGCCCCTGCCTGACTCCCTAAACACAGAGCACACGAAGGCAAACCAATGCTCCTTTTTACCCGCTGCCACCAGTTGATCACTAAATCAACATTACTGATGGAAGGATGAAAATGCAGGTCCAAACTTCACTGTCTTTTAAATAAAACTTGTTTATTGATTACAGATGTTGGGTTATTAATCATAGGTAACTTCTACAGGTTTATTAATCATCAATCTCAACCTTCTATTTCTTATACAGTTTATTCACTCTTCACTCTAATCACACCTCCCAAATCCTACACTCTATCTCTCCACTCTGACTCACTCTCTCTGACTCCGCCTCTTTATTGCATATCTCTCGGCTCCTCCTATTAGCAACATTAGCCTGCAATATGAATATGCATGACTACTTCATAATAAGGGGGAACGCTACATACCTCCGCCCTTAAATATGTTTGTTTGGGAGGGGAAACACATTTTTCCTCCTAAACAGGCACAATTGCATTAAACTTTACTTACCATATAACACAATTCTACAGGCACTACCATATTTAATATAATAATTACTATCCCTTATACACTAAACATTTCACTACTATTCAATAATATACTTTACCTTATCATTTATACTTACTACATTTAACATTTTCAACCATACAGAAATATCACAATCAAGAAACTTTTACCTAAATAATTAACCTGTACATCATAGTCCATTTCAGTTTACGTATTTTAAAAGTCCTTGCCTCAATCGCCTAGCCTCCTGGAATGCGCATCTGCAATAATGTTGTAGGCTTTCGAGGCACGATCTGAGTCTCTGTTGCAAAGTCCAAATTTGCAAAGTCCAAGGCTTTCACCTTCCTATTGTAATAAGGTGCACCATGGACTGGTCCAGTTGTTACTGCCACTTCAGCTGGACACACGTCTGCTGGCATTCAGAAGTCCCTCTGTTGATCACTGGCTCCTTCTTCCGCAACCTTTTCCATCAACTGGCGGTCATCGGCCACTCGGTTGTCCACTGGATGTCTGCTGGTTGTTTCTTAGTGAAGCCTGCTTTAAGTCTGGCTCAGGACTTCACTTTCTCAGCTGGCGAAAGGGTAGGCAGTTCCCTCTCCTCCTCCCGAACATCTTTAGATGCATTCCTCTTTAAAGCATCAGGGCTTACATCTTCCTCCTTCTGAATCATGTAATTAACCTTGTTCAATTTTGACACTATTTTACAGGGGCCCTCCCAAGCTAATTGTAGCTTGTGACCCTTGGCTGGCCTAAGTAAAAAAGCTTCATCTTCAAGCCCAAAAGTTCTTTCCAGGGCTTTCCTGTCATACCAGGTCTTCTGCTTAGTCTGGGCAGCCTTTAGGTTTTTTCTAGCTATCTCCAGAGACCTTTGCAGGATGTTTTGCAACCTGTTCATATATTCTATTACTGACTCTGGGTCATTTTCACTATAATCTTCCCAGTTCATGTGGAGCAAATCTAAAGGTCCGTGCACCTTCCGTCCAAGCAGCAACTCAAAAGGACTAAATCCAGTGCTTTCCTGCGGAATGCTCCTATAGACGTATAATAGGGGTTGTATTTTGCAGTCCCAATTATTTGGGTTCTCTGCTACATAGGCCTTAATTATGCACACTAATGTGCCATTAAATTGTTCAATTAGTCCATTAGTCTCGGGATGATATGGTGTAGAGTTGATTTGGGTTATTCCACAAGCCTTCCATAACCTATTTATTAGCCTGGAGGTGAAGCTAGTTCCCAAATCACTGACTATTTCACTAGCAAATCCCAATCGGCTCATGTAATTAATTAAGGCATCCACCACCGTGTCAGTTTCCATGTTAAGTAATGGAATTTTCTCAGGATATCTTGTGGCAAAGTCCATAATGGTCAGAATGTACTTATTCCCCCTTCTGGTGGCTCTAGGCAAAGGGCCCACCAGATTGATTCCCAGCCTTTGAAATGGGGTAGAGATGACTGGCAAAGGACATAATTTGGCTTTAGTCCTGCCCTGCCCCATCCCTCGTCTTTGACAGACATCACAAGTTTTGCAAAAATAAGTAATCTGTTTACCCATACCTGGCCAAAAGAAGTTCTGGGCAACCTTTCTTTTGGTTTGTGTGATCCCCATGTGTGCCCCAAACAAACTGCTGTGAGCTTGATTTATAATTTTCTCCCTGTATTTACTTGGGACCGCTAATTGCTTTGGGGGTTCTCCATTTCCTCTGTATGGGGTGGCTAAAGTTTCCCTATATAAAAGGTCTTTATACAAGCAAAATCTCTCAAGGCATTTAGGAGACAATACAGTGGGCGTTCTGGCTGCTTCAAAGCTAACCCCCAAGCTAATGTCCTCCTTCTACTCCTGGGCAAAATAATTTTTATTGGGATTCTTCAGAAGCATGAAATCAGCTTCGGCACCACTATTAATCTGGTTATTCAAGGGACTCTCTCTCTCCAGGCCTCCCTCTGATACTCTAACCAATTCTGCTTCAGTGGGTGATGTTTGGCCTCCCTTTGAGTGTGTAAGTACAAAAGCACTCTTGACATGCTCTATTAAGTCCCTACTGATTAGAAAAGCAGCTGGCATTTCACCTGAAACTGCCACCTGCCACTTTCCAGACCAGTCCCCATAGTTTATCTGAACCTCTGCCACTTTCAGCACTACAGATTCTTTCCCAATTCCTTTTAGGGTCATAGTTCTGCCTGGAATTATGTCATCCTGGGCTATCAAACCAGAATGTACTATAGAAATTTGAGATCCTGTGTCCCTTATGGCAATTTATTTTTTCCCTCCCACTAATATCTCTTCACCAGCATTTTTAAGAAGGGTATTGTCGTTTTTTATATACAGTGGACCCTCTACTTACGGAATTAATCCATATTGGAATGGTGGCTGCAGGTTGAAAAGTCTGTAGGTCGAGTCTCCATTGACCTACAATGCATTGAAAACCAATTAATCCCATAACCAGCCATTTTTGTTCAATTTTTGTTCCATTTTGGGTTTTTTCTGGTCTGTAGGTCGATTCTCTGGCTGCAATTCGAACTTAACTTTTGCAGCCAGAGAAGTCTGTAACTCGAAAAGTCTGTAAGTTGAGCCGTCTGTAAGTCGAGGGTCCACTAGGCTTCAGGAATGTCCTCAAGATTAGTAGAAGCTGTGGTTGCCATGGAAACAGGACTCTGGTTACTGCTTCCCTCAGAGGATTCAACTTGTTTTAAACAGTACACTTTTTTGGTTTGATTATCATTCTTCCCTGTAAAAAGTTTATCTCTCCTACACTGGAACTATAAATGTCCAGGCTGGCCATTATAACTCCTTCTCTCATTCTGAGGAGATTTGGTAAACTTTTCCTCAGAGTTCATTTGGTTCTGAGGACTAGGCCATGCTAATTTAGCTGAGGCACCACCCTGGCCCTCATTCCCTAATGTTTTACTGAGTATTGTATGTTGAAAGGTTGGTTGAAGGATTTCTTATGGTTGTCCCAAGTTGGCTTGTTAACTTTTACCTCAGAGAATCTGGGGTCTTTGTGCTCCGTAATATGATCTGCCTGTTCACCAGCTTCAATTAGAGTTTAGGATTTTTGTCCCTAACTAGACAGCGCAATTCCCCAGGTAAAATAGAGTTAAATTGTTCTAAAGCTATCACAATTTTCATCTCTTCTAGAGAAGTAGCTTTTTCACGCGTCATCCATTCGTCCAGACACTGGTGTAACTTAAACACCAACTGAACATACAATTCTTCAGGTATTTTAGTAAGGGCACGAAATTTTCACCTGAGATGTTCTGCATTTATGCAATACAGTGGTGCCCTGCTTGACGACAATAATGTGTTCCAGCAAAATCGCTGTTAAGCCAAAAAAAAAAATCCCCATTGGAATGCAATGAATTCCAATGGGGAAAATACCTCATCGTCCAGTGAAGATTGCCCATAGAGAACCGCCGATCAGCTGTTCTAAATCACTATAATGTGAAGCTTCCATCCGGAAAGCAGCCATTTTGAGAAGGGAGGGAAGCCATTTTGTGAAGCCATTTTGCGGAGCCGGAAAAAACATTGTTTTGCGAACAAACGTTTTGTGAAGCAGGCTCCTAATCAACGTTAAGCAGATTTTCCCCATTGGAACCATCGTTTTGCGATCACAATAGCAATTGCAAAAATGTCATCGTGAAACGATTTCAACATCATGCGACATCTGGAAAATACAATTTTTCTATAGGCTTCAAAATTTCTAGCCTGTTCTAGGGGAATCTGAGAATAAATCTCAAGCAATTCCCCACTGATTTGTGACCTCAGAACAATCATCCTTTCACTGTCTCTGATACTAAAGTCCCAACACACGCACTCAAAAGCGATAAGAAAGATTCCGGACAGTCCCCTTTCTTATATTGGGGACATTTCTTAAGATCAATTTTAGCCAGAATTCCTTCATTGGAGCTGTTGTTATTATTGTTATTTTGAGAGGTTATTTCTAATTGTCTCATTTGTATTTGAAAATCCATCTCTTTTTGTCTTAATTCCATTTCTCTTTGTCTGGCCTCTTGCTCAAATGCCATTTGTCCAGCTTCTTGCTCAAATGCCGTTTGTCTGGCCTCTTGTTCAGCTTTGAGCTGTAGTTCTTGAGCTTTTCCCCTAATTTCTAATTCTCTAAGCGTGAATTCCTGTTGTAACCTCTATTTTTCAAACTCTTAAGAGCTTAGGACACCTGGTCTTTCTGAGGCATTTTCCTCAGTCTCTTAACTGCTCTCCTGGAGTTAAAGGGTCTCCATTTCCCGCCATTTCCTGAGGTACTAAACTTCATGCCTCTTGAGACTCAGTTTCCACTATTAGTGGTCTTTTAGTTCCTTTGGGAGGCATATTTATCTGAGTTACTTTTTCTAAAGTGTTTTTATACTGATTTTATAATGGACCTGTATTATTTTATTTCCAGTCACTGAAATTATTTCTATTTCAAGCCTTGGCTTTCTATTCTCTTCCCTCAGATCTGCTCTAACCCCTGGCCTCTGCTTTTTCCACAAGCGTTCCCTAAACTCTTAGAGCCTTGAACCTTAAACGAGCCCACTGGGTCTTCAAATCTTGAGGCAAATACACAGGAATTATCTCTCTGAGTCGTTCCCTATCTTAGACCCCCCCCCCAGATCTGGGTTTAGAAGCCCCCACCGCTAAGCTTTTCCCCAAAGCTCTAGTGAGGAACCACACTTCTTTACCGCAGACCTCTGTCTCCCAAGATGCAGGTCCAAACTTCACTGTCTTTTAAATAAAACTTATTGCTTACAGATGTTGGATTATTAATCACAGGTAACTTCTACAGGTTTATTAATCATCAATCTCAACCTTCTATTTGTTATAAAGTTCTTATTCACTCTTCACTCTAATCATACCTCAGATCTCCCATATCCCACACTCTATCTCTCCACTCTGACTCACTGACTCAGCCTCTTTATTACATATCTCTCAGCTCCGTGTCTTAGCAACATTAGCCTGCAACATGAATATGCATGACTACTTCATATTAAGGGTGAACACTACACAGGTGTCTTTCAGAAGCCCATTAATAAGGCATGAAGACAATAGTCCTCTCCTTTTACGTCCCGACAACTGATGCCCAGGGGCATGACAGATATATTGCAGATGTAGCCACCAAACTGTATGGTTGATAAGAGGTTTATATTATCTCCCTCACATAAATCAATGACGTGTGAAGTCTGTACTTGTGCTTTAACCTAAATAGCACAATTTACAGTGACAATTATAAGATGGAAATTCTGGTTTTCCTACCCATTCCCACAGTGGGACTAGCTTTTGGTGGAACATGTCTGTTCTCAGAATGCGTGTTTCTCACCTGGTAGCATGTAGGAACCTGTCACTTCAAGATAATTGGCAAAATGGCAACTCTTTTTTGTTATTGGGTATTGGTTTCCTCAGAAATCCAGTGGTTTAGGAGAAATGGGTGAGTTTGAGGTGCTGTGTTCCAAACCGGCTGTTTGTTTTGTTTATTTACAGGCAGCTTTTAATTCTAATTCTATTTCTGTAACCCTTAATCATTATGTAAAGACAGATGTACTTTCCCCTACATTTTAAAAAACAGGAAAATGTTCAAAAGAAACAGAAAACTTTTGTTTAGAGAAAATAACTTATGATTGAATCTGTATCCCACCCCAGAAAGGGAACTCCTAAGACCACAAATCATGACCCCCCCAAAAAACATGGGTACATTGATGCAGCCTTCTTGTACTTTAACTCTCACCCTAAAAGTCACAACAGCTCATTTCTACCTATCATCCCACTCCTCGTATGGCACTTCACTAGTAACATGGAAGAGCTGAGATGAAGCACAGGCTTTGACAGCGTCAGCATGATCTGCAGTGCAGTCCTATTTACAGTTACATAGCCATTACTAATCCAGTTTAGTTTGATCTGTATTGGAGGGCAGGAAGTCTCATGATGATTATACGGCTTAGTTTAGATAATCAGATATATGCCTTGTTAGAGAATAAAAGAGTAGAGCTTAGTCTTTGTTTTCAGTAAATATAGAAATTACAAGAATAAGAATGACAGTACCTGTGGTCTGGATAATCTAAATTTGGGGGTATAGTTTGAATCATATAATTTTTGCTATAAACCAATGTTTTTTTCTGTTTTAGGAACCTTGTCTATGAACACAGGTGTCCTATACAGTGGTGCCCTGCATAGCGACGATAATCCGTTCCGGAAAAATCATCGCTATCCGGATTTGTCGCTATGCGGAAACTGAAAAGCCCATAGGAATGCATTAAACCCCGTTTAATGCATCCCTATAGGCTTAAAACTCACCATTATGCGAAAATCCTCCATACGGCTGCCATTTTCACTGCCCAGTATGCAAGGAATGGCTGCGAAAACACTGCGGGCAGCCATTTTTTTTCCGGTGGCCATTTTGGAACTGCTGATCAGCTATTTTTAAAACATCGCTATGCGAAAATCGGTAAGTGAAACAGCTTACCGATCATCGCAAAGCAATTTTTTGCCATTAAAAGGATCGCAATGTGATCGCTTTTGCGATCGCAAAAAACAAATCGCTATGCAGATTCTTCGTTAAATGGGGTGCTCTTTAAGTGAGGCACCACTGTACTATGTTATATTCTGAGCAGTTTATGTAGAGCTTAAGAGCTTCTTTAGACACAGGCTTCAAAAGCCTCACTTGTTTTTGTAGTATATGTGCTTATTTGGAAATATACTGGGTCCGAGCAGGGACACACACTTAAATATTCCTATTAAGCCAAAATCCAGCTTCCTAGTATCAGAAATCCAGGGAGACAGCCAGCACCCCCAGGAAACTTTTGCAAAGCCCAAACTCAGTTCTCTTTACCTTTCAGGCAGCCCCAAATCACTGTCTTGTCTTCATACACTTGATTACAGCACCCCTGCCTTGGAGAGAAAGAAAGTCTTTGGGTGATGGCACCGCTGTTCCAAACATTTCTCAAAGTTCCTTTGAACTGAGATGCAGTTGATTGCTTTGTTCGTGTAGCAACCTACTGCTATCAAGGGCTATCAACACTCTTTTATCTAATCTAAAGTGGAGAGTCCAAAGCAGTTCAAGGTCACCTATCAAATTTCATAGAATGGAGACTCCAGCCTCCAGTTCTAATCTGACACTCTGGCCTAACATTAGGGTACCCATGGTCCTCCAGATGCTCTTACACTGCATTTCCTATCACACCTGACTGGACAGAGCTGATGGAAGTTAGGGCCATGTGAAGAGCTGCAGGTTCTTAACCTTTATGATATAACTACAGGACATTAGTTGTCAGCAGTCCCAACATTTCCAGCCAGAGGAGTCATTGTTAGCAGAATTGGGTAAGATTCCAAACACAGGTGACTTGTCATCCAAGGAATGGGGGCAGTAGGCTCACCTCAAATGTTTCAGAGAGAGGCATGCTCCCTGTTGAGACCATGAACTATCACTATCTTTGGATATCGTTAGCCGGCAATTTCCATTAGCTCTAAGTCAGATGAATTATGGGAATTGCAGTCCAGCAGAATCTGGAAGCAAGGTCACTTCTTGGTCTGAACTAAGGGAGTCTCTTCCTCAAATTTCAAAGTGAAATCCCCCATTACTTGAATCATGGGTTCCCCTATATCTGAAGGGCCACTTGCCCACCCCTACCCTAACGTATCTCTTTCCCATCAGCATACTGTGCTGGCCAAGGTAGACCCAGAGTCTGGTTCTGTATAAAACAAACATAAATTGGGTTTGAAGAGATTTGGCTTGAGATGACGACAAGCTGTTGGAATAAGGTGCACAGGAGTGAACTTAGTAAACCAAATTATCTGTTTGTTTTCTGTCTCCGTGTCCAGGACTGCTCCGTCATCTGGCTAGCTGCAACCCTAAGCCAGAGCCTTCGTGTTCTCGATCTCTCCTCCTGCATTTCCCTGAGCAACAAAAGTGTTCAAGCCATTGCCGCCCACCTTTTGCAATTGACAGTCCTGCGTCTGGCCTGGTGCAAGGAGCTGACTGACTGGGGCCTGATGGGGATTGAGGAGCCTGAGGAAGAGCGTGAGCGCGCTAAAGAGGTGAGAAAGGCATGGCAATGGACAGTTTTCAAGCTTGATTATTGTCCAGTGATAACAGCATTCTCCACTGGAAGAATCAGTGTCATTATAAGCAGCAGTGACAGTGAAGTTGCTAAGGAAAGGGAGTGTTTTTCACTTGCCCTGTTTCAAAGAGCCCCATAATGAGAACCTGCTCTTTCTTAATTTAGTACCTCATTTCTCCTAGCAGCTAGGAGAAAGGCAGGAAAAAACTCTGGCTGGTGATCAGGAGGCCAGCCGTCAACTGCAACCCTGTGTTTTGCTTTTTTTCTTCTTAATAGGAATGGGAGTGGCTCACACAGATGCTCCTTGTTAATACAGTGGTGCCTCGCACAACGATTGCTTCATACAACGATGAATTCACACAGCGATGGGCTTTTTTGAGGAATTTCCCCCATCGTTTAACGATGTTCTGTATGGGGGAATTTCACTTAACGATGTCCCTTTTTGCTCATTTAAAAGTGTCTTAAAATGTTTGAAACCTGTTTTAAATGCTTATATTCCATAGTGCACCTTGTGAAACATGTGCAAACTTAATTTGGTTTTGTTCTGAGTCTTCATTTTTGGTGATTTTTTTATTTTCCCCATTTAAATCAATTGAATGGACAGTTCAATGCATTTAAATAGGGAAAACAAAAAATCACCAAAAATTAAGGACGACTCAGAACAACACCAAATTAAGTTTGCATAGGGTTCAGGAGGTGGGCTAACGATTGCAAGCATTTAAAACCTGTTCCAAACATTGTAAGACACTTAAAAATGAGCGAAAAGGGACATCGGAAAAGACTTCAAGAGCACTGAAGCCGGCTTCAGTGCTTTTGAAGCTCTTCCGTTTTCGCTCATTTTTAAGGGTCTTACAATGTTTGGAACAGGTTTTAAATGCTTGCAATCGTTAGCCCACCTCCTGAACCCTATGCAAACTTAATTTGGTGTTGTTCTGAGTCGTCCTTAATTTTTGGTGATTTTTTGAATTTTCTCTCATTGGAATGCATTGGACGGAAAGTTCAATACATTCCAATGAGAGAAAATTCAAAAAATCACTAAAAATTAAGGACGACTCAGAACAACATCAAATTAAGTTTGCATAGGGTTCAGGAGGTGGGCTAACGATTGCAAGCATTTAAAACCTGTTCCAAACACTGTAAGGCACTTTTACAGGAGCGAAAAAGGACTTCGCAAAGCCATTGAAATATATTGAGTCGGCTTCAATACATTCCAATCGAGGAAACATTGTTTCACTCAACGATGTTTCCTATGGGTTTTTTCACTTAAAGACGGCAATCTGTTCCAATTGGAACGGATTAACCGGTTTTCAATTCATTCCTATGGGAAATGGTGTTTCACAGAACGATGTTTCACACAACGTTGATTTTTTTGGAACCAATTAACATCGTTGTGTGAGGCACCACTGTATAGGGGTAGTTTGGGTCTGAAGTTCATAGGAACAGATATTAGACTTGGAGGGGAGCATACATGGACTATGATTATGGATAATGTAACAATTTCACTGTGAAATTTCACTGTTCACTTTCAGTAGAACAACCATTTGAATGGCATGAAAGTCTGACCTAGTTGTGTACAACAGCAGAACTTTTATTTCCAATAAGCCCTACATAGCTAAACCAGTGGTGAAGAACTGGAGGAGTTGCAATTCAAAACATCCAAACCAATGTGCTGTGGCATTGACTGTTGCATTAAATATGTTGTGTTGTGTCATAGGTTTCAGTGTATTAGATTACTGTTTTAATTTGTAAAGTGCATTGGGCTTTATTCTTAAATGAAATGTGATGCATATCCTTTTGCATGTAAATAAATAAATAATTGCCTCAACAGGAGAATGCTGGCCCAAAGTTCAGTAGAAATTTTGGCAACATGGGATTCTTCCAACCCCCTCCGCAGGACTTGGAGGAGAATACCCAGCTTCTCATTGATCTCACCAAGCAGGACGCCCAGGAAAAGCGTAAAGCTTCTTTGAATAACTTGACCCATCTGCAAGAGCTAGACCTGACTGCCTGTGGGAAGCTGACAGATGCCAGCATAGCCCAGGTCTGGACATGCCGTTTTCACTCAGAACAATGACATGATAGAGTCCTTAGGGTTGGTACTATTTTATATAGCAGATGGAGGGCTGCATGTGGGCATGCGACTTCCTGTTTGTTGAACGCTAGCGGGACAGGGAACTGGGTTCGGACCCTAGTTGTCTTCTCAAGATCTCGGTTGATGTTTCTTGAGGAATTTGTGATCTGGTGGTGCATTTCCTCCCCACAACACTTGCAGTCTGAACTGGTATAGTCCAGGAACTTTGCATCCTGCTACTACTGTAAATGTGTAATTTGCCCCTCCACTGTCTCTGCCTCCCCCCTGCCCCCAACAAAGTTGACACCTTCCCTGGATTTAATCTCACTGCTGCAGACCTTACACTGGTTTGGTTGTGGTTATTTATCCATGTGACCTGAATGTGACTGATTCACAACCAAAGTTTGTTTAGTCTTTGGCAGGATGGTCTTTTGGGTACCCTTCTCTAGGTCCCACCCCAAGCTTAGTGGCTTTGTTGTCTTTTCTTCTCCAGATTATTAGCTTCCCTGAGCTCCGTCGCCTGTTCCTCAGTCTTGTGCCCAACCTCACAGACACTAGCCTCCTAGCCATTGCTCACAACTGCCGGAGTTTAGAGCACCTCTCCTTAAGTCACTGCGTGAACCTGACTGACAAAGGATTTGTGGAGGCAGCCAGCTCCTTGCACAGACTTCAGCATCTGGTCGTTTCTGGTTGCAACCAACTAACACCCCGGTAAGCTTTACGGCAGAGTCCAAAGGTGACTGTCATGGGTGTGGCCTACAGGTGGAAAGAAGGGTGTAGGTAATGAAGAGATGTGTGATGCCGGGCTTTAGGAGAGGGCAGAAGGACAATTCATTAGTAACTGGACTTACTCTCTTGCAGGACTCTGAAGGCTGTTGGGCAAGAATGCCAGCAGCTGAAAAGCTTGGATGTTTCCATGTGCAGCAAGATTAGCATGATGGATGTTGAACATTTCCAATCACAGCTCCCACCACAGAGCCAAACGAGCATCCAGTCACGGTTTGTGGGGGGAGCAGACCTCTCCATCACTCTTTGAGGGAGGCTTTTGTGAACCCAATCATAAATATTATCAATGTCTGCCCCCACAAACACCAGTGGAAATGAGGAGGTAGCCTGAAGAAACAGCTGCTGGCTTGGTTGTTTCCTCGTTAAGTGCAACTGTCCCACTGCTCACTGGGCTGAGGGTGTTGATAAAACAGTTTAAGAAACGGTAGCCTCTTTTAAGCTTGCCTTGCTGGATCAAACTATCGAACCAACCCTATCCTACAAGCTCAGTGAGGAAGGTGACCTTGGGCCAGGCGGACATTATGGAGATACCATTAAGGCAGGTTCTGACCCTTGATGGAATGTTATCCAGCAGCAATAATGCAAGACAATAGCTGATACGGATGGTAGTCGCTGTTAAGACAAAACTGACAGTGCCAGTGAAAAGTACTTACTATGATTCTTTTCAGTAGCTGAGAGCTCCCTGTAGTGAGGAAGGATTATGATTCTCATATGCTAGCCCACACTCAGGGACTTAATCCGTAGGGCTCCCTGCAGTACATCATTGCCTATTTTATTTTGTAAGCTTTCCCCCCGGGTGGCAGCACTGCATTGTCTTCAGAAGGGTGCTCTGGCCTCCAATACCAAAACAATTGTTGGGATGTTCAGGAAAATATCTGTTATCAGACAAGGCAGAGCTTTCTGCAATTAAAATCAGGGCAAGGTATTGCAAAACCCACATAACCAGGGCCTGCAGTTTCTATCATATCCTTAAGGTATCCTGAAGACTTCATCTTTACCATACTCTTGTGTACTCATGTATTTTACACATGTACATAAACAGAACCATTATCCTAATAAAGGATTTAGTCTTGCTAGCTAAGAATCCCAATGAAAAGGTTATTGTACAGTATTGTAGAATAACAATATTCAAAAAATGTATGAAGGAAATAATAGTATGCTGTCAAGCCAATTCTGGATTATGGTGACCCTTGTCAGAATTTTTTAGGTAGAAAGTACTCAGAAGTGGTGTACAATTCCCTTCTCCTGGGACTGTGCAGGCTGCCCAAGGCCACACAGACTGGCTCTTCCCTTGGAAGACACAGTGGGGAATCTCTGGTTCTGCAACCAGATGCTTAACTCACTGAGCTATCCAGTATGAAGGAATGCAGGCGACAAATCACACAATCTCCAGTGCCTATATACGAACACAAAGAGTACAGGAGACAAGAAGAACTGGAAATCTTAGTTCAAGAGGGTGACTTAATAAGGATAACTGAAACTTGGTGGGATGACTCTCGTGACTGATATACAGCAATTGAAGAATATAAATTGTTCAGAAAGAACAGAGACAATAGACAGGGAGATGGAGTCACAGTATATCTCAAAAACCATACAGTATTCCTGCACAGGAGGAACGAGGATCGTCGTATTGACAGCATCTTCATTAATATATCTGGGCGAAAAACAAATGGAATGTAGTTGTTGGATTTTACTACTAACTGCCCAATCAAGGAGAAGATGAAAATGAAACCTTCGAAAACTAATTGCAAGATTTTAAAAGAGACATGATGTAGTAGTAAGGGGAGACTTCAATTATCCTGATATTTGTTGGGAGGTAAATTCTAATAATATAATAATTTTCTTCTACAACAGATGGAGAAAGAAACTAAAGGTGTAGCTAAAGGTGTAGCTATCCTTGACTTAATTCTAATCAATAGAGATGACTTGGTGGAGAAAGTGGCAGTAAGGGGAACTCTGGGCAAGAGTGAGCATGTTCTACTAGAATTCTTGATTTTAAAGGAAATAAAAGCAGAGTGAAGGTACATGTAAACTGGATTTCAGAAAAGCCAATTTTAATAAACTCAGAACATTTATAAGTAGGGTCCCATGGCAGAAGATCCTGAGAGGAAAAGGAGTTTGAGATGAGTGGGAATTTCTTTAAAAAGGAAATTCTACAGGCACAATGACAATTCCAGCAAGAGAAAAGATAGAAGACAGCAAAATATTGTGGCTTCACAAAAAGCTCAGGGAGCACCTGAAAACAAAACAAAAAAGGACACAGGAAGTGGAAGAAAGGCCAGGTTACAAAAGGAAGGCAAAAGCTGAGAACGAGCTGAGGCTAGGAAGAGATGCTAAAAGCAACAAAAAAGCATTCTTCAATTATGTGCATAGGGGTTTTTAGCTAATTCCCTTAAGGTTAGCAGGGCACAAATGAACAGGTTACCTACATGTAAATATGGTTCTTTCAGTGGTCCTCCATGAAGTCACACATACGGGTTCTGTAGCACACATGCACAGAAATTCAGAACATTCTAGATCTTTAAAAAATAGACTGTTAGTCTCCTCCTCTCCCAGTGTGCATATACAGTGGTGCCCCGCATAGCGACGATAATGTTCCAAAAAATCGTTGCTATACGGATTCGTCACTATGCGGGGCAAAAAAGCCCATAGGAACGCATTGAAACCCCTTCAATGCATTCCTATGGGCAAAAACCGTACTTTTAAGCAAAAATCCTCCATGCGGCTACCATTTTCGCTGCCCGGTAAGCAAGGAAAGGACGCGAAAACGCTGGGGGTGGCCTTTTTTTGGGGGGCGGCCATTTTGGAACCGCCGATCAGCTGTTTTTTAAACATCGTTATGCGATAATCGGTAAGCGAAACGCTGATAAGCTACTTTTCACATTCTCATTTCAAAATGCAGCTGCAAGTATGGTTTGAGATCACTATTTACATTTCCCCCCCGCCCCCAAAAAACTAATTGGAAGGCTGCAAGACATGATCTCGAAGCCTTCCAGATCTTCTACGGCAATTTCTACTCAGGCTGCACTTATCTGCAGCTTATATAAGTTACAGTCCAACAAGAGTTGGGGGGCAGGGGAGCACACAATGTTGTGAAACTCACTAGGGGACTCCTCTAAAATACCACATATATCAAGAGAAACAACACTGTTAATAGCAAACAGATAAAATGCACTGCTGTGATATGCACAGCTGTCCCCAGAAGCTCAACCACTTCATAGCAAGACCAAAGACTCAGTAAGTATTATTCCCTTTTTATTTATTTTTCATTATTAAGGCCTCTTCGCCAAAGTCAGTAACACAGTGTTTTGTTACAGTAGAAGCACCTGAGCAGAAAGGAATTTCTCTTACAGAAGGTACAAAAGAAGCAAAGAGGGTGTTTAAAAATGTGTTCGTTAGATAACAATTACAGTGCAGTATGAGTAAACAATCTGTGACAAAAAGAGGTTTATGTGAGAGAGGAAAACGATTGTTCCAGTGAAGTAGACTCAGTGTTTCTAAGGAGACATACAGTGCTATGAGAATGTGTGTGTGCATTTGTGATGTATACATATATTTCACATGAAACAAGCAAATAAATCACATTTACCTTCAAAATGGCTAACCAAGAAAAACACAGAAAACAATTGCCATCACTTAAGTTCTTTTCGGCCTGGCCTTAAAGGGCCACAGAAGTTTCTTTGCAGGCCTATTGAAGTGAATGGAGCAGACGCAGCTTGGCTCATTTGTACATCATGAAACGACAAAATCTGGGATAGTTTGGGGGCACTAAGAAAACCTTTGGTCCCGCTCAGTGTCCTTTGGAATCTTTCCCTCTGGAATGCAGAATTTTCTTTCTTTCTGGCTGCAAAGAATGTTGAACATTATTGCTATCGCAACACACCACAATGTGTGTTGACTCAAAGTGCCGTTCAGGCAACAGGAGGGGGGCTGGGAGTTACCTCATCCCATTTCCTATCATCTCAGATCTTACACCCTCAAACAACACTACAGGGTTACAGTAGGGCCGCCATATCCACTGGGGATTGGTTCCAAGCTCCACTACTGAAAACCACGAATAGTAGTGAAAGATGAGACAGTGTGGTAAAAGGAAAAATCCAGAAAAAAAAACCTATTTTCACATTTAGTACCAGAACTGGCTCTAGAAGGAGCCAGACACCATGCTATATATTCTTCACTAACACGTGTTCATAGCATGTATTTGTGAAGATTCTTAGTCATCCAGGTGAGGTTATCTGGAATTTGAGTTGATCAGGTTCAAATCAGGTTGACTGAAGAAGCTCCTTGGATGATAGTGAAACATTTCAACATAATAAGGAAGAAGTCCAGTTCTCATGACTCAACTTCCAGGTATTCATAGCATGGTTTCTGGCTCCCTCGAGGGCCAAGTTTTCCTTAAGGTAAAATCCCATCCAGCTGGAGATCAAACAAGAGGTCAAGTGGTGAGGCTTCAGTACCTTTGTAGTTACTATTCCCTTGTAATGTGCAAAAGCAAAATAAAAAAGCCTACGTTCCAGTAACATAGCAACAATAAGAAATAATTTGGAAAGCCACCAAATCCCAACTTTTCCCAGTGAAAAATTAAGGCAACAATTCAAACACAAACATACACAGCCCTGACTATTAAGTGCCAAGTGACGTACCATGAAACAGTCTGCAAGAAAACCTATAAGCGGGCTTTTTTTCCTCCGGGGTAAGCTCAAAGGGAAAGAGATTTAGAAGCCTACCAATAAAAGTATTCATGGAAGGAGGATTGTTAAGAACCTCTCTCTGTACCATCTCCTCACTTGAAGCAATAGCAGAAAAAGTACCTGGATTGTGGTTGTGCTACAAGTTTTAATAAATGTTTCGCCCCACTTGCTCTGTTGTGGCTAAGGCAAATCAGAAGCAGATACAACCCCTTCTTTTCACAGAATGAGGAAAATAGTTGTTCAAAGTGCTAATTTCTGTGCTGCAAAGCAGATCCAAAGGTAAGTATCAACAGCATTTCAGGCTAAGCAAACCTCTGGACTCACTGGGTAGATGGATCAGCAGGGAGATAGCATGATTGAGTCTAGATAGCCTCACTGCAAAACTAACAATGAAATACAGACCATTAGAAACTGTGGCAGCTTGCCTTAGGGAACGGAAACAACTGTGTGAATGCTTATCAGATCCTGGAGTATGAACTCTAAAACAGAATCCAAGATCCGTATTTCTTCTCACTTTTTCCCCTTTCTTTGAAATGTAACTTCTTTGCATTTGCCACAGATGCTTGCTACAACTAAGAGCAAGTCACGGGTGACAGGACTCAGCCTTGTTCCATTTCCACAGTACAGTACTTTGTTTACATCATTATTGTGTCTTCCCTGGTGCCAGAAAAAACAACACAGAGAAAATGGCTGCAGATTCCTCTTTCAAAAAAAGTAGCTGGAAGAGACCGCTTTAAGTCTATACACATTTATGCACTCGTATCCACTAAAATAAATGGGACCTTCTGGTCACATGATTAGGATTCCACGTAGACATGGAGAGGTTCAGTTCAGAGAACAGACAACATGCCATGAGCAAACACATGCCTCCCTCGCTCCACTTTGTAGTTCCCTGCAATTTTGTTTGCTACGATGTTTGAATTAAGCCCATGGGCCACATGACTCTCCAAACTATTATTCGAGATGTGCTTGCAGGTTAGTGTTAACCATCTTTCACCCAATTTTGGTATAATGCTAAACACTGGTCGAAGGAAACCTCAAAAGTGTAGAAGGAACATGGTAGGCAAGAAGGGAACAGGAAGACCACAGCACATTGTTCTGATTTGAAGGACCACGCAGACGGAGTCAGACCCTCTGAGAAGCAATGCATGCCATGAAGCAAATCCCGACAAAAAGATGGGACATGCCAGACAAAAGCAGCCCTTATTGTTCAATATGGGTGAAATCATAGCAGAAATTCAGGTTGGAGGGGGGCTTTGGAACAACAGGTGGGACATCTGGTATGGGGATATTCTCGAGATCTAACAGGCGCAGCTTCAGCTCCATAGACAGCAAGATATCCAGGTCACTTTGTGTCCGTTCGCTCACCATTTCTCGGCCTAGCAGCACGTTCAAGCCATCGGTCCACAAGCAGAACTGAAGAAAAGGAAATATTGTTATTGCTGTTAATAAATTCCCAAGCTCCACCCTATGAAGTAAAAAGAGTACAGTGGTGCCTCGCACAACGGGTGCCTCACACAACGATGAATTCACACAACGATGGCTTTTTCTGATAAATTTGCCGCCTCACACAACGATGTTTCCTATGGGGGATTTTCACACAACGATGTCTCTTTTCCCTCATTTAAAAGTGCCTTAAACTGTTTGAAACCTGTTTTAAATGCTTGCAATCGTTAGCCCACCTCCTGAAACCTATGCAAACTTAATTTGGTGTTGTTCTGAGTCGTTGTTAATTTTTGGTGATTTTTTGTTTTTCCCTCATTGAACTCTATTGAACTGTCCGTCCAGTACATTTCAATGAGAGAGAAAACAAAAAATCACCAAAAATTAACGAAGGCTCAGAACAACACCAAATTAAGTTTGCATAGGGTTCAGGAGGTGGGCTAACAATAGCAATCATTTAAAACACTTTTCAAACAGTTTAAGGCACTTTTACAGGAGCAAAAAGGCACATCGGAAAGAGCTTCAAAAG